AGCAGTCTAGTCGCTTAGAAGATCCCGGTCGCGATCCCGCTAAAAGATGGACTATCTATGAACACCATTGAACCCATCAATTCCGGTAAAGAAATTCCCTTTTCAGTTGCCTTGAGATATCTGGATCGGGAATTGACGGAGACCTCGAAGCGCAGATCGCCAGCCGACTGGCGCAACATGGAGGATATCCGACCGACCGCGAGGTGGGCAAACCGCATGTTGCGCCCTTTGACTTCCGTCTACCACCGATTAGAAAAGCATCACGAGATCCGCGCCAGTGTCGCGGATGCGAAAACGAAAGCCAATGCTGGCAACGCCAGCACAGAGCGCATCAATGTTTCGTCGAATCGAAGTGGTCAACCCGCGACCGACCAAGGCTGTACCTACCCGGACGAAGAGCCTGACGATCCCGCCTGGATTCCCGGACGACCCCCGAGCCGCCGGATTCGACACAACTACTCGACTCGGGGGCAGAGGAACGGCGCGCGACGACGGACTCGATTGACAATCCAGAGCCCGGAGGCGCAGCGGACGTTGCCTGGCGCGATTGAGATTGCGACTCCCCTGATTACCGGAAGATCCCACGGGTCCTTGGACACCTCCTCGTCAATCAGAAAACAACTGTTCCGGAACGTTATATCGGCCACTGGCGATGGCGAGGCTAGCGACAGTCGGAAAGGCACTCGCTCCAACAATAGCAGTTTCCCTGCTTATCAAGGTTCCTGGAAAGAGGTCCTCGATATCTGTGGTAACCCGGGATTTGTGGATATCGCGCGCTATTTAGATCAAGTACTTCTTAAGTTTTTGAATAACACTCGCGAAACTCCGACAGTTATACCTCAACATGCACAAAGAACACGCGGACCGCGGTCGCTGATGTCGATGGCTCTGCGCCGCCTTCCGGATTTCATTGCGGAGGAGCAGATATTACAAGATGAAATGGAGGAAGACGGGGAGGTTGATATGTGCGATGCTTACTTTACTGAGCTTGAGGCCTTCTATGCGTCAAACGACAGCGGGTGGCAGCCGCTCCGCGAAACAGCGCGCGCTCGAGGCATCCATTTGATCTCGGATATGATCCGGAGAGGATGGATCCCGCGATTGGCCGCCTGTCGCTTGCTCAAGGTGTGCTTGGAACATGATGAGTTCGATGCTTTTGAATCTTTGTTATCTCGTTGCTTACTTGATGTCGCCACTTACGGTTATCCGTCGGCTTTTGGACCATCCAAAGCTAGTGACTATCGCGAAGACCCTATTCGGGTTCTGCGTGTTTATTACTCGCGCGTCCCTTCGCGGCGGTCCTTCTTCTACGATGAATTGGCGAAGCTTCTCACGCGAGGGGTATTCCCTCCTGAATGGATGGTCACCAGCCTTTGGAAAAAGTGCGTTGATGGAGCGATCCAATCGGTATCTGCTGGAGACGGGGATTCCGCGGCTGCGACAAAAGCCGTTGAGGCCATCGTTCTCGCTTCTGCTGGCATTTATCCGAACACGGGTGCGATTTCGGCTCGTTTTGAAGGCCCACCTGCGCAGCGCTCTGTGAGATCGAAAGACACACGTGCGTCCACAACGAATGCGAGTTCGTTGCTTGAAGGCCGGGCTCCATGCCCTGTTCCTATCCAGGACGCCTTGAGCAATCTCATCGCTAGTCTTGTGACCGCGCTATGCGGAATGTGCATTACACGCACGCAAGCATCCGGGCCTGACGAAAGGACAAGCGGGCTCAAAATCCGACAAATGGTCACGCGCTTTGCGTTTAACGTTCAAAGAGCCATTGGCAATACCTCGACGCCTGGGGATATTCAAGCACAGGGACTACAATCTCTCCGCCGCGGATATGTCCTGTTGGGCGATGTTGTACTACAGGCTAACGAAGACGTCCCGTACAATCTGATTATGTGCTCTGATGCATTGTCAGAACAACACATGAATACATTTTGTCTATTATTGGCTGCGCAGCAGGACACGGTCAAGGAGCTAGCCGAGTTCGTCCGACAAGTGTTCCATTGCTGCGGGCATGCGCGCAAATCCGAGCCGACTCGCACTCCTCGGAGGATCAAAGACACGGTCACACGACTCGCTCGGCTGACGTCTTTGGCCGGGGTGTCTCTTCTGCTGGATAAAGTCGCAGCCGAAGCTGCGATGTTACTGGCGGAGATGACTCTGGACGAGGATGACCACGCATGGGCATTAGAGATGCAAGGTGAAGCTATCTCATCACAGCAGGAGCAGAGGGCGGCGACACGGCCTACTGCAACGAGTGCTGCAGCGGGTGAAGCATCTGCCGACCAGCCCAGCGATACTTATCGATGGGAGGATAGTATTGGAGAATGGGTTGCGAACACACCTGCCTCCAAACCCCTGGCCGCCCGGGCGAAACTCGCGTCGAATCTTGACTGCTCAATGAGAAGTAGCGCTTCGGCCAGCCCAGCTCCGTCCGAGACGATGGCTTCCAGCGTGACATCATCCGCACCATCGTTGACCGGCAAGAGGGAACGTGCTCAGCAGGACTTTGAGGTGCGGTCGCCCAAACGACTTCGATCGGCCTCGCTGAAGATGACGAGAGGAAGCTCTGGCGCTACGCGCCACGAGCCGGAACGGCCAGGCGAATCAGACTCTGCCCCTGTAGCCGCCCGGACTCGCACGGCTCTCCGCGACCTCTCCCAGGCCAAGAACCGCATGATCCAATCATCTCGAAGGCGAGTATCGACCGTCGGCAGCAAGGATCTGACCCCTGTTCCGAGTGGTTGCAGTAGCGTTCACTCCCTGCCCCAGATTGAAGTGGTTATCGTCAACAAATTTGCACCTGCAGTTGACACGACAAGGACTCAACCAGATGCCGTGCTAGTCTGCAGAAAATCGGCACGATTAGCTCGAGCCTCAATATCTGCTTCCGTCTCCGCCGTCACCCCTACTGCCATTGTGACCGAGTCGAATAGAAGAACGACTCGACCTCGTCGCGCACGACTACCACCGTCACCGCCGGTGATGTCCTATTCCGACGAGGACAGCGACGATGAGCTCAGCTTTCTGGCTTGAATTGTCACCTCTTTGTGTTGGTATTTTAGTGCCGTTTGTTCTACATGGTTTTCCTCAGGGTGCGCATGAATTGTCGGGCATGGCGGGCGGTTTATCAGGAAATTCTTCGGTTCAGGTTTAGTTTATAGTTTTCTGGATGATACCCGGGGCGATTAGGATACTGTTTTCCATTGTTGAGTATTTGTTTGGATGGTCTGTTTGATTAATCATTGATAGAGTAAAAAAAGGGTTTGTGGAATCAACTTGGCACCGAAAGGGTTTCATTAATCATAAGCATGGCATCATTGACAGTTCGAGATCCGGTTTCAAGTAGAAGAGAGACATTGATTAATGCTCCGTAGTTATTCTTGGACTCTCGGCGTTGATGGTGATGATGGATTTTTCCGTCCTTTTGTCGACTCCCTGAATTCTTTATCCGGAGTGGAACGGGGCAAGCCAACTGGAAAAGGTTAGAAGTGTTTGAGATGTTTGAGATGGAGAAGTGACGGGCAAACTTGGCACTTTGTCAGGTGTCACTCCCTCTCTCTCGAACCTGTCAACTCCATCAACGGCCGCGACTGGGTGTTTCAACTTGATGGGGACTTATCCCTGATCATTATCCCGCAAGATAGTCGTATGGTGGAGGGTGAGGAAAGATCAAACACAACTTCTCTCCAGTCCTGAGCAATTCTCACCACCATCACGGCCATCACGACCACTGTCGGGCGTGGTGTTTAACCGCCCGGCGTCAGCACTTTCTTCAGGCTCTTGCATTATGCATCGGCACGAATCCTGGTTCATTTCCAATTGTACTACTTACATGCGACGGTACTGTACCTTACTCCGTACCTCACCGATGCCTTCCAGGCTTCCCTTTTCCCACACAAGCGCAGAAAGAAACCCACTCTGTCCCGCTTGCACTCCGCCGGCGTCTCTCGTCCCTCCGCCTGCATTGGCTCGCCCGACGCAAGGGCGTCAGCCAAGCCGCGAGATCTCAACCCGACCTCCGCTTGATTGTTTCAGCATCGAGCCATTCACATTGACCTTGCCAATTCGCGGTCGCCCGGATCAGCCGCTGTGGCGGGCGCCAATCCTTCCTTTGGAGCCGACGATGCACCGCGGTTGGATGGATATGTCCAATTCCTGGGCTCAGAGGCGAATACTTCTCCTGTAGTCTATCGGCCTAGCTAGCTAGGAGTCCAACCAGCCAAGGCCCCACGACCCTCTCTCCCTCAACTCTCGTCTCCACCCTCCACATGATGATAATCTGAACCAAGAAGCTCCAGCTCAAGATGGTGCACCGGCTCAGCATCCCCATGAGCCTGTAATGCACTGACTCAATTTCCCCCTCCCCTCTAGGCCCGATGACAGTCGGCCAGTAGTGGGCTTCGAGACCAAAGCACAGGGCAAGACACAGATAATGAAGCAGAAAGGAAGGGGATTTTTTTTTCGCTTGTTCTATCTATGTATAATCAATCCCCACGGCTGGGGAAAAGCCTACTTTTGTTTCCCTTCTCCCTTGACAGTGTCTGTTCTTTTTCTGTTCACTTCATATGATCCCAGGTGGTCCTTTCGTTTCTTTGCCTCCACTTTTTGCTTCTTATCACCCCCTTCTTTTCGGGGTCTGTGTTATTTTCTTTTCCCTGTCCCTTTCTTCTGGGGGTCTTGTCTCCATTTGCTTCGTGGATTGTGGTCTAGCCATTAGTCTCAATCCTCTCATTCCTGTTCAGCTGTAGGACTAAGTGACTGGCTCACCAAAAGCTCAGCATTCCGTTCGTTGCCCGCCGACCTTTACAATTTGGCCCAAGTATTCGGGTTCCCGGCGACCGCTCATTCCTCTCACCTTTCAGGAAAGCAAGGCTTTGTTTCCTGTGAATCTTGGTTTGGGGATCTGTTGTGTGTGACAAAGCGAGTCAAAGACGAGACGAGAGAAAGCGAAGACAACGCCATTGTTGGTGATCACCATATCCAGGTGGTTGTGGGATCCAGTTCACTGCCTCCTTGGTGCCATTTATCCACCATAAGACCTTGCAAACAACCTGATCTTGGTTATTCTGTCCAGACTGACTGGTCAAAATACATTTGGCATCACATTTGTCCTCCTTCCCTCGTGGAAAATCCCTTCTACGCAGAGCCGGTCTCTCATAGAAGATATCTCTCGTTTTGGCCCACGGGTGACCTGTTGCTGAGCCCTTGCTCACTGTCCTTTGACGTTCTCTCTTTTTTCCCGTCCTTGGAATCTCTTTTTTTTTTTTCATAATGCTATCCTTCATTCTGTGTACGTCCCTGGTTGGACTTGTTTCTGCTGAAGAGCTAGAAAAGCGTGGTGGTGGCGGCGACACATCGATGTATGAGATGCTCAATGATGATCTCGCCCGGCTGAGCTTGCTGGTGCTGGGTCTGATGGCGGCTGTTGTGTATGTGTGGAAGATGTGGCATCGACTCTCGAGTCATCTGCGAAGACTGGCCAGCTTCAACAATGAGCGACAACTATACTTCGTGACGCCGGACTCGATGCTATCGAAGATCAAAACTCACATCACCTATGCGCCCTTGTTCCGCGCCCGACACAATCGCGAATTCCAATTGTCCCGGGCCGTCAACATGGGTACATTGCCGAGTCGACTTCACTCGTTTCTGCTGGTTGGGATCGTCGCCATGAACGTCGTCCTCTGTGTGGTCACCGTGCCATATGGCACCACCGAGAGCACTGCCGCAGGCATCATCCGTAACCGCACCGGAACAATGGCCACTGTGAATATGATCCCATTGATCCTCATGGCCGGTCGAAACAACCCGTTGGTTACGCTGTTGCAGATTCCATTCGACACCTTCAATCTGCTTCACCGCTGGCAGGGCCGTATCGTGGTACTGGAAGTCATCGCTCACATCGTGGCTTGGATGGTCCCCAAGGTTCAGACATGTAAGTAGCCGTTGGTCGGCCAGCTTTTTCGAGGTGATGCTAACACTCTTTGCTAGCGGGCTGGGCCAAGATTGGAGCAAGTCTTGGGGCAAGCAACTTCCTTCTTGTTGGCCTGATTGTGAGTGCCCGAGCCGGTTCAATATGCGCTATAGAATCTTGCTAACATTGACTCTAGTCGGGATGTGCTTTCGTAGCTCTCCTGTTGCATTCGCCTTCGCCCATACGACACGCCTTCTACGAGACGTTCCTCCATCTTCACATTGTGCTCGCCGTGCTTGCGATCGCCTTCCTCTGGGTCCACCTCAATGGTATGGTTTCTCAGTACTACCTGATGGTCGGCATTATTTTCTGGGCTCTGGAGGTAGGTTCATCTAATTTCCAGTGTCGACGATGATTCAGTGCTGACACGATCCCAGCGTGCTGCGCGGCTTGCGATTCTCGTGTACCGCAATTGTGGCCGTGAGTCCACCACGGCCCTTGTCGAAACCATGCCTGGCGATGCGATGCGGATCACCATCAAGATGGCCCGACCCTGGACCTTCAAGCCCGGCCAGCACATCTACTTGTACGTCCCTGCTGTGGGATGGTGGACTTGCCATCCGTTTTCGGTTGGATGGAGCGAAGAGGCCGAGTCTCTGTCGGACGAGAAAGGAATTCCCATGAACCGACAAGATATGATGGGCTTGCAAAAGACCACTATCTCCTTGCTCGTACGTAGGCGAACCGGCTTTACCGACAAGCTGTTTCAGCGGGCGCAGAACTCGCCTGGTGGGCGGGTGTCGCTGCGGGCACTAGCGGAAGGACCGTATGGCAGCATCCACTCGATGGATTCTTACGGCACTGTGCTCCTCTTCGCCGGTGGTGTTGGTATCACCCACCAGGTGCCGTTTGTGCGCCATCTCGTTCAGGGGTATGCCGAGGGTACCGTGGCAGCGCGCCGTGTGACCCTGGTCTGGATCATCCAATCCCCTGAACACCTCGAGTGGATTCGTCCCTGGATGACTAGCATTCTGTCCATGGATCGTCGCCGGGAAGTGCTCCGCATCATGTTGTTCATCACCCGGCCGCGCAACACCAAGGAGATCCAGAGTCCCAGTGCGACCGTTCAGATGTTCCCCGGCCGACCGAACATCGATACCCTGGTTGGCATGGAGGTCGAGAACCAGATCGGAGCGATGGGCGTGCTCGTCTGCGGCAACGGTGGTCTGAGCGATGATGTGCGACGGGTATGCCGCACTCGACAAGATCGCACGCAGGTCGATTTCATTGAGGAGAGCTTCACCTGGTGAGCTCCGTCTGAGGGGTACGACTCTCTTATATAAAAGGCATTCAACATTTTGGCCCCCAAGCCTACCAACTCTCGGTGACTACGGATGCCCGCATCTGATTTGTCACGGGCCTCTTGGTACGAATATTGACATTTCCGCTTTACGAGCCTGTGTTGTCCCCCGCCTTTCCCTTCTTTCTTTCTGCCGGCGACCGTGACTCTGGGTCTCAAAGGGTATATATATACTAGTTTTGTTTGTGTGTTATGTTCGATCTGGCCGTGAGTTTGCACTAAACTCTCTGGCTGCGTATATACTTGATCATATTACCTATCAATTCAAATTCTTTGGCCTTTGCGATCAGAAGTGCCCGGAGTTGAAGATCGTTGACGTATGGATGACCGGTACTAGTAGTATTTCTGGTTACCAGGAGTACGTCCAAGGTTTGTGGCATGCTGCAGGTCTCGGGATTTGGATCGGGATTCACATCGACCGAGGTCGACCAGGATCAATTCTTGATTCGAGTCGATTCCGAAGATGGCTGAGTGCATATTGGTGATGATCAATGGCATAGTCGACAAGAGAGGTTTACGGTACAAGAAACCGGTCATGTTCAAATGCCCAGTTTCATAAAAACCATAAACCGGCACATAGGCAGTTGCCGCACGTGACATAAGCTGGATGCCCTCGAATTGGGCAGCCTCTGTTTCCATGCAGCCAATAAGAACAGCTTTCTATACTTGAATGTCGGTCCACGGCTGTGGCATTGTACTTATACCACTAATTGTGAATGCCTCTATCTACCAGTCGAACTGTCTGCCCGGTAAGTGGGCAGGTCGGAGCAGTTTTGGAACTGGAGGCTTATAGGATTAGGCATAGTGACCCTCTTCGAGATTCCAACAACAGAGAACCGGGCAGGCCTTTACAAATGGGCATAATCAACTGATTCTCCAGATGGCATCTACCGGTAAAATGTTGAGACGGAGGGATTCTTGACCAGCTCGGATTAGAAATCAAGGGGTGGGGCAAGTTGAGCGGAAAGTTTCCCTCATTTGCTTGTGGGATGGAGGAGAATGATCACCAATCCAGTCGGTGACAAATGCCCGCGTTCCGAGTCCGATACTACCGTATTCCATTTGTAATCCTTCAGTTGTTGGCAGTGTCCGCAGTTGTTCGCAGCGGCTGGTTCTGGTATCAAGCGTATCGGGATCAATGGGACGGGCAGTTGGCGCCTGGCAAGTTGCCCCACGCGCCCAGGATACGTTACTTTAATCGTGGAAAGATGGCGTCGATGCACCAGTGGCATCATCATCCCCTCCTCCATTACTTAGCTGGTTATCAATCCCCTCGCCCGCCATGAGTGGGCTGTTCTATAAAGTCCCTCGGTTCTCCAACGTCTTAGCTCGGTGTTCCTATCGACCTACCTTTCCTCCCTTCACTTCCAAGACCTTTCTCTCTGCCCAATTGTTTTCATCTTCTGCTGCTGCTACTGCCGCCAAGATGAGCTCCCCCGATATCACTTTGTATACCGCTCAGACTCCCAATGGAATTAAGATCTCCATTGCATTGGAGGAGCTGGGGTATGTCTCTGTTCCCGGTTTTTGGGAGGTCACAAGCTAATGAACAATAAACAGCCTGCCCTACAAGGTCGAAAAGATCGATATCTCCAAGAACACCCAGAAGGAGCCGTAAGTTGTGCCTATCCTTTGCTCCCTCTCCCCTGCTGCGCCGTCCTCTTCCCTTCCCTCGGGAGAAGAGAAAAGAGGCCTACCACTAACACACAATAAACCCAGATGGTTCCTCGAAATCAACCCGAACGGCCGCATCCCCGCCCTGACGGACACCTTCACCGACGGCCAGAAGATCCACCTCTTCGAGTCCGGCGGCATCCTGCTGTATCTGGCCGAGCAGTACGACAAGGACTACAAGATCTCCTTCCCGCGGGGCACGCGCGAGTGGTACGAGATGAACAACTGGCTGTTCTTCCAGAACGCCGGCGTCGGCCCCATGCAGGGCCAGGCCAACCACTTCGTGCGCTACGCCTCCGAGCACGTCCCCTACGGCATCAACCGCTACGTCAACGAGACCCGCCGCCTGTACGGCGTGCTGGACAAGCGGCTCCGCGAGAGCACCTCCGGGTTTTTAGTGGGTGACCACATCTCGCTGGCTGACATCTCGCACTGGGGGTGGGTGACGTGCGCGGGCTGGTCGGGCGTCGACATCGACGAGTTCCCCCACCTCAAGGCCTGGGAGGAGCGGCTGCTGCAGCGCGAGGGCGTCGAGAGGGGTCGCCATGTGCCCTCGCCGCATACCATCAAGGAGATGATTAAGGATAAGGAGGCCGCGGAGAAGAGTATGCGCGAGACTAAGGAGTGGGTGTTGAAGGGGATGCGGGAAGATGCGAAGAAATAGGGGACCCTGTTTGGCTGTGTGGGGTGGGGAAGTTAGTGAACTGTAATAATGAATAAATCATGAATCAATCTTAATTTCATTTTCTGGCGCCATGGGATTCTGAGTAAAAGTGAATGGAACATTCAAAGCGTGTGAGGTGTCAGTGATTGCAGGACTGACGGTAGTTTAACTCACTTGCTGAGGGAAACCGCGGCGGCGGGCTTAGTCACGCAACCACGTGAAAAGCTTTTGCCACTTCCCCCCGGAGGCCCTGTTTTCTGGCCTTTGTAGTTGATTCGATCCCCTCTTGCTCCCTCCATCTCACAGAACGCAAGGACACGATCCTGCACGGGAAATCTCACTAACGAGGTTCTGACTGACTGACAGTGACATGGCTTGGCGCAACCAGGGAATCACCGGCTCCAATAACATCCCTCTGGGCCGGAGGAGGTTCGGCGGCGATGAGGCCCCAGAGGACGAGAGTCGCACCGCGACACCGGCCTCTGCGGCTGGGGATAGCGCCTACAAGCGCGGTCGAAGCCCTGTTCGTGGTGAGTGGCTCTTCCATCCCCACTCGACAAAGATCTCCCTCTTATATTGTTTCTTACTAACGTCTCTAGCTGATCCTCCCGCGGACGGTGTCAAGAAGCGCAAGAAGCGCAACCGTTGGGGTGATGCGCAGGAGAACAAGGCCGCCGGTCTCATGGGCTTGCCCACCATGATCATGGCCAACTTCACCAACGAACAGCTGGAGGCGTATACGCTGCATCTGCGTATCGAGGAGATCAGCCAGAAGCTGCGAATCAACGATGTGGTTCCAGCGGACGGTGACAGGTTTGTCGAACTTCCTCTCCTACATGCTACTGGAGTCGCTAACCGTTGTGGTTTTCTATAGGTCTCCCTCGCCTCCTCCCCAGTACGATAACTTTGGCAGACGTGTAAACACAAGGGAATACCGGTATCGGAAGCGTCTCGAGGATGAGCGCCACAAGCTCGTCGAGAAGGCGATGAAGACCATTCCTAACTACCACCCGCCCTCTGACTACAGACGTCCCACTAAGACCCAGGAGAAGGTCTACGTGCCTGTGAATGACTATCCAGAGATTAACTTCAGTATGATAACTAACCCTCTAACTCCTAACCGTTGTTGTGCTCTGTATCCCTACTTGACTCTGTGCTCGAGTCGGGCTTCTGATGACGACGTCGCCGCCGCGCGATGGGATTCTCCAGCTCGCTTCTTGCTAACCCTTGCTGCTTGATGTTGCACTCCTCTTTGCTCTTTCACCCTGAAACAAACAAAACAAAAACAGCTTGAACTAACACCTAGGTTTTCCGCTATCTTTTCAAAGTTGGCTTACTCATAGGTCCTCGTGGTAACACCTTGAAGAAGATGGAGACAGAGTCCGGCGCAAAGATTGCGATCCGTGGCAAGGGTTCCGTCAAGGAAGGAAAGGGTCGCTCTGACGCCGCTCATGCCAGCAACCAGGAAGAGGATCTCCACTGTCTGATCATGGCGGATACCGAAGAGAAAGTTAACAAGGCGAAGAAGCTGGTGCACAATGTCATTGAGACGGTAAGTTTCCTTCCTATGGCTTCGTTCAAGACACCGTGCTCATGGTACCTAGGCTGCCTCCATTCCTGAAGGCCAGAACGAGCTCAAGCGGAACCAGCTTCGAGAACTCGCGGCACTCAACGGTACCCTCCGTGACGATGAGAACCAGGCTTGCCAGAACTGTAGGTTTGCTCCCAATCGTCCTTGCTCCCCAATTCTAACACAGACAGGTGGTCAAATCGGACACCGCAAGTACGACTGCCCTGAGCAGCGCAACTTCACCGCCAACATTATCTGTCGCGTCTGTGGTAATGCAGGCCACATGGCTCGCGATTGTCCTGACCGCCAGAGGGGCTCCGACTGGCGCAACGGCGGCGGCTATGGCGGCGGCGGCGGCGGTCGCAGAGCCATTGGTGGCGGCGACGCCGTCGACCGGGAAATGGAGGTAAGGTCTTTTCCGTGTCTTGTGATTGATTGTTACTAACTTGGACCAGCAACTTATGCAAGAACTGTCTGGTGGTGCTCCTGGAGAGAACGGCCACGTACCTCGTCGCATCGAGGCTGGACCCGATCAGGGCTACGATGACCGTGATGCGAAGCCGTGGCAGCGTGGCCCTCCCCCCAGCGATGTGGCTCCTTGGCAGCAGCGCGGCCGCGACCGTCGCGACGACTATGGATCTCGCGACCATGGCAGTGCGCCTCCCTGGGCTTCTCAAGGTCGTGGCGGCCACGGCGGTCACGGCGGCCATGGCGGCGGCGATTACGGCTATGGCTCTCAGGGTGGCTACGGTGCCCCTGGAGCTCCACCCCCGTGGCAACAAGCGCAGGCTGCCCCCCCTCCGCCCCCAGGTGGACAGGCATCGTACGGCTACGGAGGCTATGCCTCTTACCCTGGCATGGGAGCGCCCGGTGCTCCTCCTGGCTTGAGTGTGCCGCCTCCACCCCCGGGCATGCCCTCGATGTATCTTGGCAATAGCGGCAGCCCTCCCCCACCCCCTCCTGGCGAGGGACCGCCTCCTCCGGTATGTTTGCTTTAGGTGTATTGAATCTGCAGCACACTTGACTGACCTGTTACAGCCCCCGAGCGAGCAGCCTCCTCCCCCTCCCCCACCTGCTTAGGGGATTTGCAGGACCTGCATCAGATCATAACGACAAAAGCCTACTGATTTCAACTGGTGAAATGAACCATGGGAGTTGCTTTGATTTGAAATGAAATTCGACAGGAACTCGCAGGATAGTAGGGCGGCATACGTGGCGGCGAGTCTGGATTCGACTGGACGGCGTCCGGCCTGCTGCTTTTATTCGTAGTCTCTTTAAGTGTACTAGCTAATCAATATTGTCTCTTTGATGTTTTCGGAAAGTTCTTAGTAGTGGAGAACCTAGAATCCAGGTGAAGTGCCGAAGAGCAAAAGCCGGAGTGACGTTTATGGGGCCGGCCCCGTTATTGATGCCTTAGGCGGAGACCTTTCTCCGCAATTTCCTGGAGAAGCTCGAATCAATCGATTTTTCTCCTCCAAAAAGCAATTGATCCTGCAAACTCCTCCAGATCGGAAAAGCGATCATGATCTGTCAAGTCAAGTAGAGCCTTATTTCACCTATTCCCTTTTCAGTCTTCAAGCCTTTCAGGCGAAGGCTCCTTGGCTTTTTTTCCACCAAAGTTTGATTTTTCCAAAAAGACGAGAATGGAGGGACCCGCCTCTTCATCATCCATGACAGGCGGGAACAACACCCACGGGGACGACCAACCCAGGAGAGGCCTTGGGAATGTGGGAGGAGAAGGAGGAGGGTACCAAGTCCAAACCCCAACCCCATCCCTATCCCCAAACCTCCACTCCTATCGCAAACCATGGCAATCGCAACCACACCCGCAGTCCCAGTCCCGGTCCCGACGCAGCTCCTCCCTCCGATCCGGAGGTGAGAGACATCAACATCAACAGCAGCAGCAGCAGCAGCAGCATCGCTCAGACCCCGGGGCACGACACAACCCCACCAGCCCAGCATCGCCATCGAAATGGTACCGCGTCCACTTGTTCCGGGGCATGGTCAAGGACGTCAAGCGCCGGGCGCCGTACTATTGGAGTGATTGGACGGATGCGTGGGATTATCGCGTCGTGCCGGCGACGGTGTATATGTATTTCGCTAAGTATGTTGGTCCTCTTTTCGCTTTGCTTTGCTTTGCTTTGCTTTGCTTTTGAACAGGATTGGGGAGGTGAGCTTCAGGTTGGGCATTGGGGATGGGTTTGACGATGGGGCTTGATTGTGATCAGGCTTTGGGACATTGTGTTTTGGACTAAGATGACGATAACTGATCCGTCACGTTCAGTATTCTCCCTGCGTTGGCGTTCTCTCTCGACATGTTCGAGAAAACGAACCAGAGCTATGGCGTCAATGAGGTGCTGTTGGCCTCGGTGCTGGGGGCGGTGGTTTTCTCGGTCTTCGCCGCGCAGCCGTTGGTTATTGTTGGGGTTACTGGTGAGTTTCTCCTCTTTCCTCTCTTGAGAGGGTAATGGGGGTAGGGCGAGGGGTCCTAAGTGTTGGGGAGAATCTGCGCAGTGCTAATGTGTGGTAGGTCCCATTACGGTGTTCAACTACACAGTTTATGATATCATCGCTTCTAGAGGTACGAATTATCTGGCGTTCATGTGCTGGATTGGCATGTAAGTCTCGCCCTGTTCTCATTCATTGTTTCTTGTTGAAGGGGGTAAAGGCACCGTACTGACTGGTTAGATGGTCGTTGATCATGCACTGGCTGCTGGCTATAACCAACGCCTGCAATGGGCTGACCTACGTGACGCGGTTCTCGTGCGACATCTTCGGCTTCTACGTCGCGTTCATCTATCTGCAGAAGGGCATCCAGGTCCTGACCAGACAATGGGGCTCCGCGGGCGAGACCTCCGCCTATCTGAGTATCATGGTCGCCTTGCTGGTGCTGATGGCGGGCTGGATCTGTGGCGAGCTGGGGAACAGCAGCCTCTTCCAGAGATTCGTGCGCAAGTTCCTGGAGGACTACGGCACTCCGTTGACCATCGTCTTCTTCACGGGCTTTGTGCATATCGGCCATATGCGGGACGTCGAGGTGGCGACTCTGCCGACCAGCAAGGCCTTCTTCCCCACCGCGGATCGGGGCTGGTTGGTCCATTTCTGGGACATCAGCGTCGGGGACGTGTTCCTGGCGATCCCGTTTGCGATCCTGCTGACGATCCTGTTCTATTTTGACCACAACGGTGAGTTGACCCCCCTAGATTGCGGTGGGCTAGACGTGGCTGACCACTCGACCAGTGTCCTCGCTGATCGCCCAGGGAACCGAGTTCCCGCTGCGTAAACCCGCCGGGTTCCACTGGGACCTGTGGCTTCTGGGCCTCACCACCTTCGTGGCCGGTCTGCTGGGCATCCCCTTCCCCAATGGGCTGATCCCGCAGGCGCCCTTCCACACGGCCGCCCTCTGTGTGACGCGCGACGTCGCCGACGAGGACGACACCAACAAGGGCAAAGCCATCCGCATCACCGACCACGTCGTCGAGCAGCGCGTCAGCAACCTGGCCCAGGGCCTGCTCACGCTCGGCACCATGACCGGCCCGCTCCTCATCGTCGTCCACCTGATCCCGCAGGGCGTGCTCGCGGGGCTCTTCTTCATTATGGGCGTCCAGGCGCTCCAGGGCAACGGCATCACGCAGAAGCTCGTCTTTCTCGCCCAGGACCGCCGTCTCACCCCGGCCGCCAACCCGCTCAAGCGGCTCAAGCGCCGGCCCGCCATCTGGGCCTTTGTCATCGCCGAGCTGATCGGCTTCGGCGCCACGTTCGCCATCACGCAGACCATCGCGGCCATCGGCTTCCCGGTGATCATCCTGCTGCTGATCCCCGTCCGTTCGTTCCTGTTCCCGCGGTGGTTCACCGCGGAGGAGCTGGGGGCCCTCGATGGGCCGGCGGCGAGTCCGTTCACGATGGAGAGCGTGGGCGGTACGCATGGCTTGGATGATTCGTTCCGGGGCTCAGAGGCGTTGGCGGGACACGAGGGTGGGCGGAGGCACAACTCGAAGGCCCGCGGTGGGGATACTGGCATCTTCGATGCGAATCGAGACGAGAGCTCGTCGGAGTCGGTGGTGGACGATGATCTGGAGAGGGGGGAGGTGTTTGAGATGCAGAGGTCGGCGGTGCGGCGGAGGAGTACCACGGGCGTGAAGGATTGATGCTACCTCTGTGTGCTTTGGGGACGGCCAGCGGCTGCTCTGGCTGTTGTTCGGGTGGATGCTGGCTTGGGATTGTTGTTGTGCATAGCTTCCATGATAGACCATGGATCTGAGGCTTAGATTCAACCGTTATATATAATGTCATATCACCGCCGATTGTATGTTGGTCGGTGGATTCTTGAGGGCCCTTCCACATAGAAAGTGGCTCAGGTCGTACCAACCTGGACGAGTCTACATACCAAAACCACTGTAGCATGGCCAATGAAAAATCCGAGTGAGGGCTATAGTAGTGCAAATATAGCTCATATTGCTACCACTGAATTGCACCCAGCCGACCCACATCAACAGTTCCCACATGGAATTGAACAGATGTCAGGAAATGTGATGCTCAAGGGCTGATTTGAGGTCATGATGCCGAGTCACATTACAAAAAGCCGAGCATCGCCCGAAGAACCGACTTGAAGCATGACAGCGGTGCATGAAAACTACTCACTCAGCTCAACAGATCCATATTTTATTTATGAGAGATCCAAAAACAAAAAAAGAATCCAATGCAAGATTGGAAAGAGTCAAGGCCCGAGCCGCGGATCGAACGCGGGACCTCTCGCAGATATGCTTGGGTTTGTATCCCTAAGCGAGAATCATACCACTAGACCACCCGGGCTTGATATATTGTGAGCCTGCTTTTGCAACATTATGATCCAAAGCCTGACTTTTTCACCTCGTGCAAAATAGAGTTCATCACGATCCAAGCCTCGTACTAACCGAACGCAGTTAGCCAAATACACCGCCCAGGGCGGCCAGCCATTCTGCCGTCATATCGACCCCAAAAAAAAAAGTCAAGCGCATGCTTCACTGTACATGTATCGAACACACTCCCATCAAAATGGCGCCCTCACAGTCCCCCGACCCCATCTCAGAGGACTCCGCCTCGCACCACTCCTCGTCCGAGTCGGAGATCGACTCCTCGTCCGACTCGGGCGGCGTCACCCTCGACACCGAACAAAACCAGCAGCGCGCCCCCAAGAGAAGACGCCTCTCCGAGTCCTCGACCGACTCCTACATCGCCGCCCCGCCGCCGCCGGCACCCCTGCCCACGCTCTCCCGCATCAAGCGCAAGGAGGACGTCGCCAGGGAGGCTCAGGCGGCAGCGGACGCGAACGCGAACCCGGTGCTCATCAAGGATGCGCTGGCGGCGGGGCTCGAGGATGCGCGGTCCTCGTTCACCGACCTGCGCGTGGCGCCGTGGCTGGTGGGCTCGCTGACGACCATGGCGGTGCGCCGGCCCACCGCCATCCAAAAGGCGTGTATCCCCGAGATCCTGGCGGGCCGGGACTGCATCGGCGGCAGCCGCACGGGTTCCGGTAAGACGATCGCGTTCGCGGTGCCGATGCTGCAGAAGTGGGCGGAGGATCCGTTTGGGGTGTTTGGGTTGGTGCTTACGCCGACGAGGTGGGTTATCCTGCCCCTTTTCCTTTTTCTGTTGCAACCACGAAGGAAACGAGAAAGAAAGGATGGATGGGTGGATGGGTGGATGGAAGGAAGGAAGGAAGGAAGAAAAAAAAAAAAAAAAGAAAGACATGATGCTAATCTTCCCCGGGCAGAGAACTCGCCCTCCAAATCTACGAACAAATCAAAGCCCTCTCCGCGCCGCAGAGCATGAAACCCCTCCTGATCACCGGCGGCACCGATATGCGCTCGCAGGCGCTGGCCCTCTCGCAGCGGCCACACGTGGTCATCGCCACACCCGGCCGGCTGGCAGACCACATCCACACCTCCGGCGCGGACACCATCCGGGGCCTGGCGCGGGTGCGCATGGTCATCCTGGATGAAGCCGACCGCCTGCTCTCCCCGGGGCAGGGATCCATGCTCCCGGACGTGGAGACGTGCCTCAGCGCGGTGCCCTCGGCCGCGGAGCGACAGACGCTCCTGTTCACCGCGACGCTGACCCCGGAAGTCCGGGCCCTCCAATCCATGTCGTCGTCGTCGTCGTCCTCCTCCTCCTCTTCCACCACGAAACCCCCCATCTTCGTCACCGAGATCACCTCCGCCAACAAATCCACCATCCCGCCGACCCTCCACCAGACCTACCTCCAGGTCCCGCTGACCCACCGCGAAGCCTTCCTGCATGTCCTCCTCAGCACCGACGCCAACGCCACCAAACCCGCCATCATCTTCACCAACACCACCGCCACCGCCGACCTGCTGGAGCGCATGCTCCGCCGCCTCGGCCACCGCACCACCTCCCTGCACAGCCGCCTCCCGCAGAGCGAGCGCAACGCCAACCTGGCCCGATTCCGCGCCTCGGCCGCGCGCATCCTCGTCGCCACGGACGTCGCCTCCCGTGGGTTGGATATCCCGTCCGTCGAGATGGTGGTTAACTACGATGTGCCCCGCAATCCGGATGACTATGTGCATCGTGTGGGTCGCACGGCGCGTGCCGGCCGCAAGGGCGAGAGTGTCACGTTGGTCGGGCAGCGGGATGTGGCGCTTGTGCTTGCGATTGAGGAGCGGGTCGGGCGGAAGATGGTCGAGTGGGAGGAGGAGGGCGTGAGTGTCGAGACCCGGGTGGTTCGGGATGGCGTGTTGAAGGTGGTGGGCGAGGCCAAGCGCGAGGCCGCCGGGGAGATGGATGAGGGGCGGGATGTGTTGGGGAGGCGGCGGGTGAAGTTGAAGAAGGTGCGGTAGAGAGAGCCCGGTGATCGTGTTTTGATGGTGTGGTGGTACCAGTATGTACATAGTTCCGGAGATTGAGTTTAATGGTACAGTTTGCGTATGGGATTTGGTTTATGTTGACTTGGTGGAGGGTAGTTCAAGGTTGAGGACAGTAGACCCCGGGCCCTGGGCAGGAAGGGGGAACGTAGGAAGGGTATCATCATTCGCTCTCTCTCGCATGCCTGCCGGCCTTGCCTGCCATCCATCCATTTAAGTACAAGACAGCAGCAAAAGCCCTCCCTGATTCTATATACATTACATGCATGGCATCAACCCTGTGGGCGTGAGTGATTCGCCGTCCGGAGCAAGGGCCGCGGTGCCCGAATCCACAACCTTGGTCCTAAACCCTGGGACACTGGGTAGATCATATCCGACCGAGTGCCCGACAGACAGACAGACAGACAGACAGGTCGGCATCACGCTCTCCTCGCAAAGGACTGATTCCGTATGGCACGGTTGCCGCGCGGCGCAACAAGCAAGCAGCCCCCATAGTGGAATCACCCCGTCCGCGCCTCTGCTTTCCCGGCATGCTCCGCCGTCCCCATCAACTTCAACAGCCCATCCACCGCATCCCCCTTCTGCGATAACCGCCGCTGCGTCTCGGGAAGACCCATCCCCATCCCCGTCCCGTCCTCTTCACCGTCCGACTCCTCGAGCCCGGTCCCCATCCCCGTCCCAATCCTCCGTCGCGACACCGTCGCAGGCGGACTACTCAGTTGCATCGGCGATGCTTTCCCGGCGGTATGCCGATACATCTTCTGCGTGGGGGTCTTCATCGCATCCTCCCCATCCTCCCCCTCTTCATTCTCCCCCTCGGCTTCTAGTAGTAGTGCAGACGCAGCCTCATTCCCCGTCGAGAGCGGCGGCGACGACAGCCCCGACGCATGCTTCTCCGGGGAAGCGTTGCGCTCGGGCTGAAGATGGGAGGTCGTGGCGAACGGGACCGGGGTCTTGGGATCCGCCACACCGGCACCGGCACCGGCACCAGCACGTGCCGGCGCAGGGGTGTGGGATCCGCTTGTTTCGGCGACGACCAGGCGGGGACATTTGCGGCTGTGGGCTTCGAGCGCGGAGAGGCGGCGGTCGAATTGCGGGTCGCGGACGTGACGCATGGCGGTTTGGAGGCGGGTGCGGAGGAGGGTTGCTTTCTTTTGGGGGGGTTAGTTGTTGTTTTTTTTTAAAGGTCTTTGAAGGGTTTAAGGGAAAGGGGGAATTGGAGGGAGACTTTGGAGGGGGGGGTGGGGGTTACCTCTTGGATGAAGCGTTTGCGCGTCGAGGGGTCGGTGAGGACTGCTCGCGTGGAGGGGGGTGCGGGGTGTTGTGTGGATGGTTGGGTGGGTTTATGGGGTTGTTGTTGTTGTTCTTGTTGCTGGTGTGCTTCTACTTCGTTTTGTTGTTGTTGTTGTTGTTGTTGTTGTTGTTGTTGTTGTTGTTGTTGTTGTGGCTGCTGCTGCTGCTGTTGTTGTGTTTCTAGATCTGGAATACTCGGTTCTTGTGTCGCGTCGGATGGGATCTGAGCACGCGACTGGGTTTTAGTAACCTATCCATGGCATTTAAACAGGGGTTGTGGCATTGAGTAGCTACCTGTTTGTCTGCTGCAATGGCCGCGGATTTGGTAGGCAGCTCCTCTTGCGCGTGGATCGGGGCCGCTGTTGTTGCTGCTGTCGCCGGCGCGCGCTCGCGGGTACTGCTCTCATGCTCGCGGGGGCCCTCCACCTGGTCAATGGTGCGTTTCTGACCGGCAAACAGCGGCGACGGAAGAAGCTTCTTCGACGGAGAGGTGAACGACGGTGCCTCCAGGAAGGCCCGTTTCGCTGGCGAGAGGGAGGCGGCGTGGCGAGGGCGGGCGGGCGACAGGCACGCGTTGGCGGTCTTCTCGCCGAGAATCCGCCTGCCGTCCTTGACAGGGCTGGTATGTGCTGATGCGGTGGAATGCATGGCGAGTGGGGGTGGGTACTTCCTGACTCCTGAGAGAAGTACTGGAGAAGAACCGCGAGAGGGGGAATGGGGAGTGAACCGATAATCGGTGTTTGTGTGTGTTGGTGGACGTGTGTTGTACGCCAGTCAGTAGTTCCGTTCAAGTAGTTCCGGGCCAGGAGAGCGAGAACTACCGACACGTGCTGGATGGGACTTGGACAGTACTGTACACACACACACACAAACACAAACTTTGGAGGATGGACTGAGTTCCCTGAGGAATGGGAAGCAAGGAGAGTGTCGAGACAAGGAAGTTGGACTCGATCAGAAGAGTCAATGGTAGTGGTAGTGGTAGTGGTAGTGGTAGTGGTGGAGGTGGGCTCGGCGCGCGTGTGGTCAATCCGCGTCGGAGTCTCGCTCCTCGTCCGTCCCCTTGCCGGCCAAACTAACCCCAACTTCTACTAAAAGTAAACCCTCTCGAGTAGCGTGTCCCACGCGTCGAGGGGGAGGTTGGTTGGTGTCCACTTGGCTTTGGGATCATTGAGGATGGGGTAATTGTTCTTGCGGATGATTTCAAAGTTATCAACCATTTTTTCTGACAATAACCCCCTGTTGTTGCTCGACCGCGTTGGAGGTCGCCGCCAGCGCGCGTCGAGGTCGACGATTTGTATCTCCCTGCTTCACGCAAGTGACCTTGGTCTTTGCATGGTCATGCGGCATCTTTGTCTAGACTGCAACTCGATGACCTTGCTAGTCGACATACTCTCCAAGGCCCGACATTCCCCGCAAGCGTCAGGCGTCTTGGGTCCCCTCCAGCCCCGCGGTCTTATCTTTATACTTGGCAATCAGCCATCCAGGCTAAATTTATGTATTCCCCTCTTGACATGCCTGCACACCAGGGCCAATGGCCTCGGAAGCATGGCAGGACTCTTTGAGGATTTCTAGTTTGCTGCAGGATGCAGGCTCCCATGCATGGTTCTAAGGAGGTTCTTGAAGGAGTCTTGGATAATGCTCTGAGGAGGAGGATGTGTGGTCAGAATGGAGGAAGTGCCATTATGCTGCCAAGCGAGACATCGGGCATTCAACCTTGAAGGCAGTCGGACTGTACACACTGAGTTCCTCTTTACTGAGTTCGCCTCAATTGAGCCATGCTAGTTGCGGTGATGCATACTTTTGAGAGAGGCCTAGCCGTAGCCTAGCCATTGATAAGGCAGCACTAGTATACACAAGGGACTAGGCAGTTGTTGCTCGTAGGCCGGTTGCCATTGCGCTAGGGAACAGAAATCAGACCTGAATCATATCAATTAGTACTTCGTACCGCTGTGCTGGTCAGCTGGACCCGTTGCGTTGGTTCGCACGTAATTAGGGCATGTTGCATCTTTGCCACTTTCGCAGCTCGCAGTTGGAGAGAGCCACCAACACGAACCTGGAGTCGAGGGAATTGTTGTTCAGTCGGAAATACAATCTGGACTTTGACCTATGTCCTGTGATATCTACAACAGATCAGTCATTTCTGGCATTTTTCAGCATAGACTACAGTCCTGTACAGAAGGGCATGTTGTGCTAAGCTTTGTCGGTGAACCCCTAACGGGGCCAACTGCCACCCCCAAAGGAACACTCGGCTACGCGATCAAGCTTATGGGCTTTATGCGACTCTCGAAGTGTCACAGAAGTAGGAGTATACAAGATGGACAAGGTTCAAGGATAAACAAGACCAGTGGTTCTTTTTGACTCCGCACTTCAGCAGAAATCAAGTACAGACTGTATGTACAGTACATGTGATTTCTTTGAGTATCAGACAAGCAAACGGGACTCGAAAAGAACTATTTTAGTACTGGTGGGAGGTACCTGACTCAAAGTCATTCATGATAAGATATGGTATTTGTTATCTACCATCATCGACTTCGATGGATTGGCAGGGCTGTGACCAGGCAATGGATAAAGCAGCCACGGATTACCTCATCCTCATCCATCCATCCATCCCCAGCTTTCCCCGCATTTTCCCCCTTCCTCCAGCTCTGGTTCTTCTGTTCTTCTCGAGCTTCTAGAATCCTTTTCCCAGCTCATTGTCCCCAACGATTGTTATCTGGTATCTGTGTAACCTTCGAAGCATCTTTGAGGTCCCACAGCTTTGTCGATCCTTACTATTTATACTTCCCCCGCAGATCTGTCAGTGGACGGAGCCGATTGATTGCATCATCATCGGAACTTCTGTAACATCTGATCCATCTCTGAACCTCGCGGCCTCCTTCTTTCATCACCTAGCTGCGCTCAGATGGCATTGCTACTCCTACGTCTCTGATCACGTCAACATCATTATTTTCACACTGGAACTGGCCAAAGTTTTAGCCGTGTCTCGCCATGCGCCTCTCCCTTGTACTCATAGCCGCCCTTCAGGCGACTGTGAGTATCGCATCCAGCTTGACCCCTCCGGTCCTGCCCCTGATCGTGCGGAATCCATATCTCAGCACCTGGCTGGGCAACGCTCGAGATGAGCCTTGGTCCAAATGGCCCATTTTCTACACCGGGGAGGAGCTGGGCTTGTCCCTCATGGCTCAGGTCCCTAGCACAGGCACCGTGTATCCCTTGCTAGGCAAGCCTCATGAATCACTGTCGGGGTAGGTCATCGTCACTTCAAGGACCAATTACGGTAAGTTGCTAAAGGTTTGCTCTATAGTGTTTTACAAATTGATTATCCAACCTACCTTGGAGCCAAGTACGACGCGTCCACCACCAATTTGACCTACCGTATCAACTCTGCAAATACCGCGGCCCATCACCAGCTCGATATCACCGTATCTTTCCTTTCTCCTATCACCCCTACGTCGACTCTGCGGCAGTCGATCCCCGCCTCCTATGTGTCGGTTCATGTGCATGGCAATGCAAGCATAAATGTCTATATGGATATCAACGGGCGCTGGGTGAGCGGAGACGCGGGTAGCCAGCTCACCTGGCAATACGATGGATATGGCTCCGAGGAGAGCAAGCCAACCTTGCGCAGGTGGCGTGTAAGAAGGGAGTCTGAGTTACTACTGTCGGAGATTCGGGATCGTGCGGAATGGGGGACCCTACATTTCACCGGACCTGCCGTGCGTCCCCAGGCCCCAGCCCCCTTGAAGGTAAATTCATCGTCGCTAATGTGCTGACTAGGGCGTGCAATATCAATCCGGAGAGGCATCGGCCGTGAGAAGCCTCTTTTCCACTCAGGGTGTCCTGGACAACGTCAACGACGACGCTTTCCGCGCCATTGGCGACCGTGAGCCGGTCTTTGCATTCTCCAAATCTTTCGTCTTCTCTCCCAAAGATGGCCATAAGAGTGACAGTGTGACCTTCACTCTTGCATTGACCCAAGATCCAGTCGTACAGTATGCCTCAGCGCGCGGGTTAACCCTAATGCGACCCCTCTGGGAGTCGTGGTTCCCCAGTGTCGAGGCAGTGCTTGGCTTCCACTACAATGACTATGCTCATGCAAGTCTCCTGGCTGCAAACTACTCAGCTCAGCTCGCCCAGGATGCCTATCAGTCAGGAGCTCATGATTATGTCGATATTGTAGCGCTCTCCGCGCGCCAGGTCATGGGAGCAACCACCTTCGCGGGAACCCCCGACGATCCCATCCTGTTCTTGAAGGAGATCTCCTCGAATGGCAATTTCCAGACCATCGATGTCATCTTCCCCGCTTTCCCCTTCTTCTTGTACACCAACCCGCGGTGGCTGGCGTACTTGCTGGAGCCGTTGATTGAGCACATGCTGAGTGGACAATATCCAAACACGTACGCCATGCATGATCTTGGGACGCATTTCCCCAATGCTACCGGTCACCCCGACGGAAATGACGAATACATGCCGGTGGAGGAGTGCGGTAACATCCTCATCATGGGCTTGGCGATCGTCAACTCCCTTCGCTATTCGGAGGATACTGCTGCGACCTCGATCTGGTCGACGCAGGGTGCGTCTCCCGAACTGCCCGAGGAGACCAATGGCAAATTTCCCCTGATCGATCTGCAGATGTTTGGTGGGATCGATCACCAAGATGGCAGATGGGGCGGTGGCACGCAAGGCGAGCACTTGGCTGAGAGATGGATCCAACGCAGTTATCGACTCTGGGACCAGTGGACAGGTTACTTGGTGGAGTTCTCCCTCGAGCCCGCCAACCAACGTAAGTCATGCCTGAGCGAGAGCGACCCGGGAGCGAACTGACACCATCACAGTGTCCACGGACGACTTTGCCGGCTGGCTTGCTCTGCAGACCAACCTGGCCTTGAAGGGCATCATCGGCATCAATGCCATGAGTAAACTGGCCGAGGTGGCTGGCTACCATACCGACGTCACCTACTACAAGGTATGTCATGGGTCTCGACTTCCCACCCGGCGGAGCTGATGATCCCAGAACATCTCGGATACCTACATCGCCAAGTGGGAGGAATACGGCATGTCCCGCGACCAGACGCACGCCAAACTCGCCTACGACTGGTACGGATCCTGGACGACCATCTACAACCTCTACGCCGACGCGCAGCTCTGCTTCCACCTGGACGGCACCGACCTCTCTCGTCACCCCTTCCCCGTCCACCACACCGGCCAAAAGCCTCTCACCACCAAGAGAAAGCCCGGCTTCGTCCCGCGCCACATCTACCAGCGCCAGTCGATCTGGTACCACAACGTGCGGCAGAAGTACGGCCTGCCGCTCGACAGCCGCCACCTGTACACCAAGACGGACTGGGAGTTCTTCGCCATGGCGGTCGCCAGCGAGGAGGTGCGCAGCGAGATCCTCGAGTCCGTCGCCCGCTGGGTCAACGAGACCGTCACCGACCTCCCCTTCACCGACCTGCACAACACCGAGGGCCGCGGCGAGTTCCCGGGCCCCAACTTCTACGCCCGGCCCGTCGTCGGCGGCCACTTCGCCTTCTTGGCCCTCCAGCGCGCCTGCGGCGGCCGCGCCATGGACGGCCTTGCCTTCCTGGACGGCACCGACCCAGACGACTCGTTCTCAACCACCACGTTGGCCGAGTGGGAGGCGGCGGCGGCTGAAGCGGTCACGCAACTCGGGGAAGTATTCGGTGACTCTAGCTCCGAGAACACGGAGCTGTAACCCCAGCAGTAGTGCTTGTGGTCGGGTATCTCCCTATATATACGTACGCAGCGCCGTGCTCGGCGATTCAGATTGGTAGCTAGCTAGCCAGCCAGCCAGCCACTTGGGTAGAAAGCTGGAACCGTAACCCTCTCTCTAGACAATTGGATTCACTGCCACTACCACACTTGGACACCGCATTAATCCGAGATAGAATCCTCGATAGTTGAACCCCATGCAACCACCCAACCCAGGCCAATCCCTTACCACCCACCCATCCGTGTAAGTTCCTCAACCAGAAAACAAAGCTGAAGCGGGCAGCGCGTGCACGTATCTTGGACTATCAGCCCCAAGCACCTGACTGTCCCATCTTTCTCTGCGCAGAACATGCTTGCAAGCCTCGTAGGGGAGGGGTTGGGTCCACACACAGATTCCCCGAGGTCAATGCTCGGTCATGTACTGTACCTTGGAGGTTGGTACCTTGATGGTGGTACCTTGGGGGTTGGGTTCTCGATCCCTGCAGTGTTTTGTGGGGCACTAGATCGCACCGCGTAGAGTACACGTGGAGTACACATGTTGTTCTGATGGGATCGGAGGGTTGTAGAGTAGGAGAGTAGGGTGGGAGGATGGTAGGATAGAAATAGTAGAATAGTACTAGTAGGATAGTAGAATAGTAGAAAGGTAGAATAGTAGAAAAGTAGGGTAGTAGAATAGGCCACAATCAACAGTAGACAGAACCATCCACCCACGAAACGATACAGACTACCCAGACACATACGTACTGCTCTAGTTCAGGAACCATCGGCCTGCCTACCTGCCTACCTATGTCCGATATCCGGGACCTCCTGGTTAGCGAAAAAGTCTTGGAGCCGACCTTGTAAGGGCATGCTTTGAGGTACAGGCAAGCAAATCCACTCACTTTCGTTCTACAGGCTCTGGAGCTCTTTCTGCAACCAGCGTGGGGCCAAGGTCTTGGACTCTACCGACTTCAATGCGTACCTTGCAATCCTGCCTGCAATCCACAAAACTTTCTCATCTATCTGCAAAGGAGTATGACTATCCAACGGGAAAGGGAGGATGGGTGGGGGTGTACCGCAAGAGCGGAGAGGAGCCTATGCAGCAGACCTATGCAGATGCACAGTCCAGAACAGCACAGTACGTAGTGTCCAGCTGGGGCAATGGGTGGCACACACCGAGAAGGTTTTTTCCAGGATGGCTGCTGATTCGATCGATCGAGTCACATCGAATACCAAGCTTTTTTTTTTTGGTTGCATCTGATACCCTGTGGGGGCAAGGGAAGTCTACATGTCCAGCCACTGAGAGATACAGTATGCATGGCCTCCGAGGCAAGAAGACTGACTACTGGTTCTTGTTGCAAAGAAAATCTTCTCGCTTTTTTTGTTGGCACAAGATATTCCTCTTCTTAAGGTCCATATGCAACTATCATCGTACGTGCATAACTTTCACAATAGGTGGCGATCATATTTTCCTTGCGCTCAAGACACGCGATCAAGCCCAGGGCAAAGGGGGGCACGAACTGCACACAGCAAAGACAAGACGGTCCGACTACCTTTGGGAGATGTTTGAAGGGTGCGGAAAGAGGGTTTCCGTGGGGAATCGGGGACAAGGGAGTTAAAGAAAAGATTAAGATAGATTAACGGAACACATAGTGTCAATTGTGAGCGAGTTAATAAAAAAATTTTCGTTTTTTTGGAACCGGGCAGAGGGGGTGAGTTATTTAGTTAAAATAAAACACGCGCACACACGCAAGATTTCTTCGACATGGGACATGACGGTGGTTGGGTTAGGCATGAACACATTTATTTGCCACCAAGGCTGGGGAAGTTCTTCTCGTCGACGGTGACGGAAGCGCCGCTGGTCGCAGCACCGCTGGGGCGGGGAGCGTTGGTGTTGTTACCACCACGGCCGCCACGGCCGCCGCGACCGCCGCGGGCACCACGGCCACGGGGGCCGTTGGCGGCACCACCGCGGGGGGCCTCGACGAAGCGCATGTCAACCTCGAGGACGTTCTTCTCCTTGCGCTGCTTCTCGCGCTTGGACTTCTCCTCCTTGCCCTTGATGTAGGCCTCCTCCTCCTCGCGGGGCTTGAGCTCCTTGGCGGCGGCCCACTTCTTGTCGAGCTTGGAGCCCTCGTTGGCGGCACGGACGGGCTTGGCGCTCAGGTCCTCCTGGGCAGCCTTCTCGACAAGGTAGTCGGCGAAGGACTTGGACTTGTCGGCAGGCTCCTCCTCGGCGGCGGGAGTCTGGGGCTCGTTCTCGTCCTTGTGGGCGATGTCCTCTCCGGCCTTCTCATCGTCCCAGGTCTTGTCACCGCTCTGGTTACCCCAGCCCTGGTTCACCTGCTTGCGGGTGTCGCTAGAGAACGCATCAAGTTAGTTTCCTGTATGATCCTTTTCTCCACCCAACCGTGGAACTCTGAATTGACGACCGCACAGACAGATCGCTGGCGGCGGTGTGTGCATGGAGATCAAGGTGGTTGCTTACGTCTGGCCGGTGCGGGACTGGCGGTCGTGGCGGACACGCTCACCACGCTCACCACGAGCGCGGAAGCCGTGGCGCTGGCCCTCCTTGGGGTCCTCGGTGGCCTTCTCGCGGTTGTTGGTGCGGCCGGCGTTGCGGTCGCGGAAAGCTATCCGATCGGAGTCAGCCGGGGGTGGGGTTGCTGCGGATGGTGAGACATGGTCATGAACGTACCGGCCTCGTTGCCAGTGGCACGGTTACCACGGCGAGCGTTGTTGTTCTCGGCACGGGGCTGGGTGCTGGGAGCTTCCTTGGGAGCTTCGCGCTTGCCAACACGGGGAGCAGGTCTGTCTACAGCCCTCGTGGGAGGCTCAGGCTCTCTGTTGGGGTCCAATTCAGGATCATTGCCTGTAGTAGCGAAGCGCAAGAGCACGCAAGAGGTTAGAAATTGATCGCTTCGTCATGATGGGCAGATGGATGGATGATGTAGATGGATGGCAATGCGGGTGGAACCGCGAGTCGCGCGAGGGTATGTTGCAAGTGAAAGCAGCACAAACGAGGGTAGATGGCAGGAAGCAGCAGGAAGAGGGCGAGAATTACCAAGAAGCTCGTAGAGGTTCTGTGATCACGAAGAGATATGTTAGCTGGGGACATGTTTGATCCTCGATGATGGGTGTGGTGAGTGTTCTTTGTGTTGTGTTGGGCGCTGAGCAACCGAATTGGACCGAAAGCAACCTCGTCAAATCCCTCGCTCACAACCCCGCTCGCTCGCTCGCTTCCCACTCAGAGGACCTCCCAGCTCAATTTTGCGGCCCAGGACCTCCTGAGACAAGCGGATTGATGCGGAATTTGGTGGTGCTGGCTCCCAATCGGCGCGGAAAACGATAGAGTGTCGCGAGAAGTCCTCCTCCTCCCCTCGACGTAGGGAAAAAAACGCACCTTGGACCGGACGTCCGCCATGACGCCTGGTTTTATGCGGGGCCTTCCGGGGAAGGCTCTGGTCTATCACAACAATTCGGGTCCGACTGAACGGGTGACGGATGGTCGACACAGGCAGAAACCTAGACGACAGTAGGTATCCGGCCTCTCCTTTGGGGATGGGAAATGGGATAGGGGAGATAGAGAGGATAGTGGTTGGAGTGAAGGGGTTGACTGACTACGGTGGATGGAGGCAACGTTTGTGGTTGCACTCGCCCAATCCGGTAAGGTGCGGATTGCTGCTAAGCGAATTCGGCAACGAGCACCATGATTGGTTGAGGGAAGCTAGGGCTTAGGGTAAACGGCCTGCGGATGACGCCCTGATGATGAGATGATGCTCATTGCTCAATGATCACCTGGAGAGCTGCTCGGAAGCATACGAGCTGCTGGCTGGCTGAGCCCATTGTTCACTGCGCAAAGCTGTCATCATCGCTTACGGGTGAGGCGTATTCATGTACTCAGGTGGTGCAAGCTGCTTGTTGCAGTGGCTATTAGGTAGGTAGAGATTGACCAGCATCGAGGCTGGTTTCTCAGTAAGCGACAAGAGCTCTCTCTTCTCCCGACTCGGGAGTACTACCAAGTAGTCTATCTATAGCAATGATTGAACCCCCTCCCCTCCCCAGAGATTCATCATTGGATGCGATTTCCCCAGTTACTCGACTAGTGATCCTGCAAAGAACGAATTGAAACCGTCCACTATTCCGCTTCTGTATGGTCGTGGTCAAATTGCTCTGCCATTGGATATTGCTTGCTGAGCAATGCTGTCATTGTCCGACACGGGTAACTCACGTGATATTCTACCCATGTGACCCCGAGCTCACCTAGTACACTTACTCCATGACGCATTCTGGCCGCTGCTGGAATTGACTTGCTCAGAAAGCAATCGCACTTGGAACCCATTATCAGATATGTTCATAAGAGCTGAGAGATGGCCCCGATGCAGCTGCTCGGCGGGCCGGTCATGCATATATAACGAGCTAAATATAGACCAAGAATAGATGTGCCTCACATGAACCACTTTCTTTCGACGCTGCTTTTCTTTTGAATAAAAAAAAAAAATCATAGAGAATACCGACCGCGACATCAAAACGTCAGAAACCGCAGTGAAACAACAAATCATATGGTATCAACCGCAAAACGCCAGGCAATGCTTCGAAGTTTCAACTTTTGTCTTCCAGTCATAAAGGTGCTCGGGGGCACAGCCAGGGAAAAGAAGCCTGGCTCCATCCTCGCGAACATCACCCGTAGATGAGAAGTCGCACACATGCAACACATGGAAAGAAGCAAACATAGGAAACAGCAACTCAATGACGCGTATTATTTTGTTCGTAGCTAAAGGGGGTTTGGAAGTGCATGCTGGCGCTGAGCCCAAACGGATCGGCATCCAACATGGGTTCATAGTTGCCCAAGATATGATTGGAGGAGGCGGCCGGGGCGTTGTTGGTGCCATACGCGCCATTGGTGCCTTCAGCAGCATGCGGGTGATATTGATTGAGACCATGCTGTCCCATCGGATGGGCTCCCTGGGCCACGGAACCCGGGTTGTTGTAGCCGGACACATAGGACGAGGTCCCTACAGCCGACTCATGCTCGTCGTCGATCATGTCTGCCTGAGCATCATATTCTTGTTCTATGGGGTGGTTAGTGCCAAGTTGACAGGCTCACAATCAGATATCTTACCTAATTGATCATAGTGCTTCTGGAAAGGAGATGGGTAGTAGGCCGAAGGAACACGAGAAGCACGAGGGCCCGCAGCACTTGGGAGAGCAGACTTTGGCTCCGCCGTATCTGGCTGACCGATGCTCATTGGAGGAGTCGTCTGGCTGAGATTTCGCGAGTGGGCGATCATGTGCGAACGTTGAGTGTGCGGATCAACCCCAGCCGGGGACATCGCACCTTGAAAGGGGAAGGCGGGCGACTTGGCGTGGGATGGGGAAGAAGCATGCGAGGGAGGTGTGGCCTGATACTGGGGCGAAGGAATGCCATATGCGCCATCGCGATGCTGGGACATGCCAAAAGGTTCCTTGGGCGCGATGCCTTGGGGATGCCTTTGAGCGGAGTTGCGAGTCACAGCAGCGCGCTCCAGGGCGGAGGGAGGCTTGCTTGTCATCAAGTTGGGCTTCGCCGGAGCCGTACCAGGTGCCCCGGCCTTGAGTCGCAGTTCGGCTTGGACATCAATGCCTATGAGGGGTCAGCATGGCTGAGACAAGAATAACTTTATCGGGAGATCGGACGCATAGTCAAGGACACCAACCTTTTTCGAGTAGGATACGTTCCAGTAAGGAATTCTTATATCGCAACATCAAGCACTCATCGGCTGCAGTGCGATGACTCTGCTGCAGCGTCTGGAGAGACTCCTCATTGCGCTTAATCGTTGATTCAAGCTGACGGATGTACTCTGTGCGACGCTCCCGGAATGCAGCCTGGGCCTGGCGATTGCGTTGCTTTCGCTCTTCCGAGGTGGCGTAGATCTGATAAGAGTCGGGTTAGTCTAGTGAAGCTAAAATGCAGCAAGATAAGAAAGAAGGAATCAGGAACGAACAAGGGGGGTAAGAATGAGATAAAGCAGGTGGAAAGGGAGCGTAGGTGCATTGAAAGATAAAGCAGGAGGGCGAGGGAGGGATCTGACAGGACGATAAGGGACAGAAGGGAAAGGTGATGATAATGATAAATGATAATCGTGCGGGGCCCCGGACTGGCACGCAGGGTCACCAACCAAGAGAGATAAGAGAAGAACCAGAGGGGGGAATTTGACAATTATAAAAAGGGGAGCAAAGGGACTCGTCGCTCAGAAAATCAGATCAGTTTTCTTACGTACAGGCTTTCTTCCACCCTTTCGCTTTTGTGTCTGGGCCACATCCTGGGTTAAGATCTCGCCATCCGCCTCAGGCGTGGACACTGCCGAACTGATTGAACCCTCAGGCATCGGCTCTGACTTGGGAATGACCGGATCCGTGGCCGGTTCATTTTGAAGAGGATGACTGGTGGTCTCGACCATAGAGACCATTGGAAATTCTAGAGGGAAAAGGGGGGGAGGACTTTTGATGTCTTGTCCCCCTCTTCCGTGAAATGGTTCTTTGCCTGGATGGAAATTGCCTTGAGGGTTTGGGGGGAAGGGGAAAGGAATTGGGGAGATTTCCTTGGACAGCGATGATGTGCCCCCTTGCTGTTCTTGCGTGAGTTGGTGGTGGGAGTTGACGGTGGTATTGGATGAGTCACCCAACAGAATCCGGGGTTTGGCTGATATAACCTAAAAAGCCAAAGGAGGGGAAAAGAGGAGAAAAAGAGGGGAAACTTTTAGATAATGGAAAAATTAAGGGAAAAGAGAACAAGGCAGATGACAGATCGAAGATCAGATACGTCTCAGGGACGAACCAACAAACTTTGACCTTCTTCACTCTTCACAGGTGACAGGACACGATGTTCACCAAAGCTGGGGTAAACGCGGTGAGAGGCGTTTTAAGATTAGATGAGATAATGGGAATGTCTCAATGAGGTAAAACACGCCAGTGTTGAACCACTTGATAGGGAAGAAGATTGATCCCGGCGGGGAAGGGCTGGGCTGCTGCTGCTGCGAGATAGTTACTGAGCAGTAGTTCAGACGCAGCAAACGCGCGGATGGGCGGCAATTAGGGGAGGAGGGGTAGGGGGGACGTGCGAACTCAGGCTGAGGGTCGCAGGGAGTCCGGCGGAGCAAGTGACATAAAAGAAATTGGAACAGTGGTGAGAGATAGCCAGCGAGCGTCGGCAGGCAAAAGACGTGGTGGGAGGAAGGAGAAAGTGGGAAAGGGCGAGAAGGTGGGAAGATGTGAGGTAAAATTATTTACTAACAAGAACGGGGTAGACCTTAAGAGGGCAAAGCATAAGAGCGAGACTAGTAGTAAGTCAGTAGTCAGGGAAAATTTTGAGCGAAAGGAAGGAGACAGAAGGCGTGAGAGGATTAGTATTGGAAGGAAGCAAAAGAAAATGTGGAAAGAGAATAATAATTAGAAATAAAAAAAAAAAAACTCTCTCATCATCTCATCTGATCATTATTGCTACTTCTACTCATTCCTTCCCCTCTCTTCCTCTCCTCTTCTATCTCCTGACTCTATAAATTGTGTTCCTTCCTTCCACTGTAAAATTTTTCACTGTCTCTTGTTCTCTGACCCTTTCCTCGTCAAGATTCCCTTTGGGGGAAATCCAGACAAACCAGTGCGACTGGCCTTTCCAGGGGAAGGAGGGCGACGAAAAAAAAAGTGAAAAAAACCAGGAACAGACGATCCAATCAATTCTATTCCCCTCCCAATCCCACTCGGAGGGGTTTGCGCTGAGAGACAATATCGACTGGGTTGGTAGTTTCGCCGCTTCCACAAACTCTGGTCGGGGCTTGTCTGACGGCCACCAAGTGGATAGGAATGGGCTTCCGTTCTACTACTCGGTACGGCGTACTTTGTTTCAATGCGTTCTCATAAATGATTGGTAACCTCCTTTTGAAATGGAGAACTATACCCACGAACTACCAGTACGACATCCTCATCCACGCAGGAGAGGGGAAACTTCTTCCCTCGTTGCTGCGCTCTGCTCACTTCTACCTACCGAGTAGCTAAGGTGATCTCGGAACAACTGGCAGCATGTTCGCTCATTTACCCTCACTGGCTGGCAGCGGCACCATTTCCCAAGAGAGGGAGGAAGTATCCACCGCGAGGTTCTGACCCAGCCGAAGATCCGCCCAAGGTACGGACGGAGTGCGCCAGGCGGCCAGACAATCAAGCGAGCACACCCAGAAAGGACAGAGAGACAGCAGGCAAGCAAGAGCCAGCAACTTGCGCAGCAGCGAAGTTCAGATCGTCTCCTAACTGGCCACCAGCTCGTCCGCCCTGCCCCATGCAGGGCAACGGGTGGAGAGGGGGGAGGAAGGAGAACGTGTCGCGCGGTCTGACGCTTTGGATCGCGGTCCGCGGAACTTGGGATGATACATCAATGCTTTTGTTCGCATGTTCCATGCACTCCGTCGTCATCCGGTTGTTCGTCACACTGGGGAAGGTTGTAGTCCGTAGGTAGGTAGGATCTGCTTTGCTTTTTGTGTTTTTGCTTCTTTCCAGACCAGAGGGTAGTAAACCCTGCAGACGCCATCTGACAGACCATGATGGCTGTTGGCTGGGATGAGGGGGGAAAGAGAGGGGGGAAGTTCTTTTCCCTCTGGTCCACAGCCCGCGGAGATGTTCCGGCCGGGCAACAATAGCACGACGACCACATTCAATAGCCAGTGGATGATGGTCCGGCCAGAATTTTTCGTGGGTTCCGTTGGGGCGGAATTCTTGTCCTCTTGCGTCGTCCCTCCTCCCCTCACATCTTCTGCTTTGCAGTTGTTGTGGTTTGGACCTCGGCTGACTGAGAAGCGACTTGCTCGATCTGAGAACTTGGAACTCAATTGTCTTGTCTGACGCTTGACATGCCACTGTCATGAAGCAACCAAACGAACCAAACACTCGTGACCAAACCTGACGAGGATTTTCCCTGCCTCCGCACGGGCCGGGGTCTGGATGGCCTGGTGTGCTTACCATACCATACACGGTCGACTAAATTGCCCTTGTTAACCAGGAATGAGGAGCTGCCAACAATTCGCTCCCTAGACTAGACCTAACCAACATCAATTTGCCATAAAAGTGCTAGATGGGAGCTTGCGGCATAAGCACTACTGTTACTCACTTTCTCGAATGCAACCAGAAACCAGACCCAGGTCGGACTTTGCCATCCCCCAAGTGTACCGGTACAGTACACATTAGGAGACCTCCGATAGGAGTCTGTTTGTGCAGGCCAAGGGCCGGCCCTCGCCTACTACCACGTACTGTTCATACAGTACATACAGTACAGCCCTTTCTCAGATCTGCAACCCCAATATGTGGTATGTGGAAATGCCCGCGGCTTACTACAGGCCTGGCAATCCGGGGAGGGATCATCATCACAAGGTGCAAGCCATGGGATCAGCTGAGGGTTTGGCAACAATGGATGGGCTGATGGCAGTGCAGCAGGCATTTCGCTTGATCCTTGACATCGTGAGAGGGAAAGAAGAGAAAGCGAGCTGGCACTCTTTCTCCATAATCGAACGACAACAGTAGAAGTTAAATCAAACCCCCTGCAGTCGTAGTCGAGAAAGCAGGACATGCACCTGTGTGCGATTCGATTCTGGGGTTGCGGTGCACGGCTTTGTGACTCTTTCCCCAGAAACTTGGTGGAAAGTAAGAAGAAGGGCCTCTTATGTCATACGTATACTTAGTTATCCTTGTGGCATTCGATTCCTCGCATTCATTCCCCATAGCACCCTGTAATAATCGATCAATGCCTGAGTCTTGTTACCTTGCAGTTGCAGAGGGAACCCAGTTTGGGGGTGATAACATCAATTGAAACCCTCTCGATACAGGATGAATCCCCATTCAATCCAACCAGGTTGTTCCTGACACAATAAAGAAATTCCCCCAATTGACATGGTCGGTCGGCACTCCAAAGATGTAGTTTCGTGGTGGTTTAGCAGCAGAGCCAACCAACCCGTTGGCGGGGGGGCTCGGGAACCTCGCCGCGGCGCTCCAATGTCATCTCCGGATTAATCAGTTTTCCACTGGGCAGGACACTTCTTCACATGAAGAATAGGCAAAAGGGCTCGGGCTAACAAATCTTCAATCTTCAATTCCTCCTCAACCACCCACTCCATCTCCCATTCGACATCCACTCTTTCTATACCACTCATGGACTCCAAATAAGAGGACACCCCATCTCTAACCACCAAAGCCGCAACGTTATCTAATCGATACAAAAAAAACCCTGCGGATCTTCCACTCGGATACATAGACCCTTGACCCCCCCCCTCACAAACACCACACCTCGGCTATACGCAACTCCCCCAAAAAACACCGAGAATGTCTTCATCCACCTCCCAAGCAGACGCAAGCCCGGCGCAGACGCAAGCCGCCTCACCTGAGCACGCCCAAATACCATCAACGAACAACCCCTCCACCACGACCACGACCACGACCAACCCCGCAGTGACCACCACGACCACCACGACCACCGCCAACCCCGCGAGCACCACAACATCTTCCACCCCACCACCACCCGCGCAAGTGGCCAACAACAACAAAGACGACGACGACGACGATGATTCCGACTTCGACGAGCTAGACGGTCCGTTTCCCATCCCAACTTTCCTTTTCGTTCTTATGCAATGTGTTCTAACAGAAAGCGGGGGTACCCGAAAACAGACGTCCTCGACAACTTCAACAAACCCGCCGCGTCGACCGCGCAGCCCCCTGCTGCTTCTGCCTCTGCCTCCTCTGCTAAAGATGCGACCGCCGCGACCACCACGGACGATGCCGATCTCGACGAGGAAGCGTTCCTGAAGCAACTCGAGAAGGACATGGCGAATCTGATGGGCGCGGGGGCGGGGGCGGGGGCGCGGGGTGACGCCTCCGCGTCGATCCCCGAGGGTTTCGGCGACGAGGAGTCCCTCGACAAGGACGCGGAGATGTTCGCCAAGTTACTCGAGGAGGGCGGGGTGTCGGCGGAGGATTTTTTGAAGCAGTTGGTGGGGGATATGATGAAGGGGGAGGCGGGGAGTGGGCCTGGGAAGTCCAGTGGGAGTGGGAGCAGCAGCGGTGGCAGCGGTGGGAGCAAGAAGAAGAAGAGTAAGAGCAAGAAGAAGGGTAGTGCTGCTGCAGGTGGTGGCGCGACGGCCGGGGAAGCGTCCGCGACCCAGAGTGCAGCTGATGCAGCAGCACCCGACGCTGCTGCTGCCGCGACACCGGAGACCTTTAACGATACCATCCAGCGGACGATCGAGCGGATGAAGGAGTCCGGCGACAAGGCGACGGCCGCGGCCGAGGAAGAAGACGGAGATGCGGACGACCTGGTGGCGCAGCTGATCAAGGCGATCGAGGCGGGCGCGGGCGCGGGGGCCGGCGGCGACGGCGACGACGCCGACCTGACCAAGATGTTCCAGGGGATGATGGAGCAGCTGTCCAACAAGGAGATCCTGTACGAGCCGATGAAGGAGCTCGACACCAAGTTCGGCCCCTGGCTGGCCGAGAACAAGGCCGCCGGCAAGGTGTCCGGGGAGGAGCTGCAGCGCTACGAGAAGCAGGCCGCCGTCGTGGCGCAGATCGTCGCCAAGTTCGAGGACCAGGCGTACACAGATGAGGATCCCAAGTGTCGCGAGTATGTGTGGGAGAAGATGCAGGAGGTGAGTCCTCCCACACTTCTTCTTGTTCTTAACAAAACGATTGGCTTGTCCATGGGACAGGTTTCGAGACCTGATGGAACTGAACTGAACACTGACCCTTCTGGCGTATAGATGCAAGCCTGTGGCAATCCTCCGGATGAGCTGATTCCGGCGCCTATGATGGAGGATCTCATGGGTGGAGGGGCCGGGCCCGGGGCTCCGGACTGTCCGCAGCAGTAGAGCTCTGTTTTTTGTTCTGTTCTCTCGCGATGTTGGATGCTGATGTTGTCTGATCGGATGTTATGATTGCCGTTCCCCTGGCATTTGTCTATGTCTTGTACATATATATCCCTCTGTTTGCGCTCTCCTTAGATGTATGTCATGATGGTCTGATGTAGTGGCTTGCACCAAGAACGTAGTGACTCTGTGCGTAAAGGTCGGGAGAGGGGCCTAGCAAGTGCACATATAGCAATCATAGTCTCCCATAGTACGCTCGTGCACCTACGCGTCATGCCATTGAGATCATACATTATATACCCAGAGTATGCACGCAACCACCATCCACTGGTCCTATGCCGTATATACACGAAACTCCTAAAACCAACCAACCTCCCGCAAACGCCCAAGCAGATACGAAAAACCCCATCAGACCCCGAAGTCGACCAGCGACATGCCGAGCCAGACAAAAAACCCCCAAAAAGGATCACGACATATCCATCTCCTGACTATGCGCAAACCCCGCAAACCCGCCCATCCCCATCTCCCCCGCCAAATCCGTAAAGATATCATCGTAATCCTCATCACTGAACGAGCCCGAGCCCGAGCCCGAGCCCCCGGCCTCAAACCCCCTCTCCGCCCCCATCTCCTCAGCAGCAATGGCACCCCGCTCCTGCTCGAAAAGGTACTGATCCAGCGCATCCATCTCCGCCCCCTCGCCACTACCCACACTTTCCTCCTCCTCCTCGTCCTCCACCAACCCATCCAACCCCAGCCCAAACTCACTCACCGCCGACCGCCGCATCGCCTCCCCCCACCGCTTCTGCTCCGCCACATGCTCCAGCAGCACCAGCTGCTCGCCGCGGTTCTCGAAGCGCCCGTCCGCGCGGTCCCGCTTGACGCGGTTCAGGAACGCGTTGCGCCGGGTGTTGCGCGCCGCCGGCGAGGCGGAGGTGCCCGTGTAGGGTCTGGTGGTTCGGGCGGCGGCGTTGGTGAGCGGGTTGGCGATCTGGGCGGCGTAGCGGGTGGCGAAGCGGGAGGAGGGGTTGTTGGGGGATGCGATCGGGCTTGTGGTTGTTGTCGAGTTGGTGGCGTCGGGGTGGAAGGAGAAGAGAGGGCCCGCAGCAGCGGCCGCGGAGAATGGTTTGTGGACGGGCGATCCGAAGCAGGATGCTGAGGATGGCGGGCCGGGTTGGAGGGGGGAGGAGGGGAGGAAGGTTGTTAATGGCGTGTCGGGGTCGGTGGGTGCGCTGGTGTTGGCGAGAGGGCTGGAGAAGAGGTTCCGGTTGTTATTGCTGGTGTTGGGGGTGCTGGGGGTGGTCATTGTTGAGGCTGTGGAGGAGGACGAGGAGAATGGTGAGGAGTGGTGGCGGCGAGGGGAGAGTGGTGAGGGACGCGTGGGTGTGCTGTAGTGCGAGTGCGCGTGCGAATGCGAGTGCGTCCGCGCGAACGGTGTGGTTGCGGTGGTGTGAAATGGATTCGAAAATTGTTGTTGCTGCTGCTGCTGCTGCTGCTGCTGCTCCGGTTGCTGATATACAGGCTGCGTCGCGAACATCATTGCGAACGAGGAATTGTTGCAAAAGGAGGTCCAGAAGGACAGAAGCAGTGCAACTGTACTGTGCTCGGTAGTCGTGATGTGATCCCGCGGTACGAGCAGTGAGGTTTTGGGCTTGGTTCCGAGCGGTAGTCCCACTTTTGGTCTGTGGTTGTGGATATAGATAAGATCGGTTGTAGAAAATAGGAGGACTTCAGTGGATGATATGCATCAATGGCGAGAAGGTGTTCTGGCGGTATTTACAGCGGTGTCTGTCGCTCTGAAGATAGTCCCAGCCACTGCGATAAGGCGAAATATTCGCATTTCGCATGCCGGATGGGAGATTCCCTCCCGCAACGCGTCCGCGTCAGACACGGAATCACGTGTTTGGAGTCTTCATGATTTGTGCCTCAGGCCACAAGGCAGTGACAAGGCAGACATGTCAGACCTGTCAGCTCCGTCACATATAGGAGGCGGTACTGTACCTAGTCAACTTGAGGATCGTGCTTCTTGACAGAAAGCTTGATGATTATCAGGGATAAACCCGGAAGAAACGCGTTCTTCCTCAGCCACAGGCTAGATACTTCAATCCACCTAGACAAGCTGAATTGGGATTGAACCACCTGCAACACAGCACTGTTTCGAGTCGAATATCCAGTAATGGCCATTCGGAAACACACTTTCCTAAAGCGCATTCAATTCTTCTCGAAGCATCCCTAGGCGAGGTATAATGACGACATACTGCCGGACGGGGGTTAGAACGTTACGCGCAGCGATCATCTGCAGGGGAATACGTAGTCGATCGATTGGTCATGAGACCGCCTACTGGACGCCCCGGAAGCAGCATATTGCATGATTCATGCTTCAGGAGGCGCCTTTCTAGTCAACGATCTACCGCAGATCCGGACAGGTACAGACTCGATACTTCTCAAACATTCGGTCAATTAAATACATACAATCAAAAGCTTTTTGAAGGCTGAGATCGAAGACCTGCAATCCAGAGAGCAAAGATAGTGAGACGCGAGGATGCCACTGTCCAGCGTCTCCTAGAATGAATCAAATGCTTCGAGGGGGGAATCAAAGTAAACAGAGACCAATCATGCTAGAACAAAATCCGCTGTGCTATGTCAAGGAGTGTAGTGTATGTCGGAAAGAAGCGACATGTAGTCTATCAGAGAACGGAAAGGGTGGTTCTTCAAAAGTAACACATATCAGAACAAAGAACTGGGTAACGACAAAAAAATCAGACTCGAGGAATTCCTCGCCCACAAGCGCCATGAAAACTGCGTCATAATCGTACAAACTTTACAGTTCCGGAGGGGATATCCAGACGTTGTATCTTATCTGAGACAAGCAGATACAGAGACCGAATATCGGACCAGACTTAAAAGTTTGATGCCGCATTCACCGGGCCAGGGTTGTGATACTGGTCAAGCGTGGTCTTGAAGGGCGTTCCACCGGCACCGGGGCTGGGGGCCTTCTCGCGAGCACCGGATCCGACGGCAGTACCGCTCATGAGGTCGGCAGCTTCGTCGTTGTCATGAGCAGCCTTGCGAGCATGGATTCTCCAGGCTACCACTGCGATAGCTCCAATGATGATCGCACCACCGACACCCACAACAACACCAATGATGATCTTCTTCTGAGACGACGAGAGACCGGAGCTGCCACTGGAACTGTTGGAAGAGGCTCCACTCAGGCTGGGAGAATCGGTCGCGCTGCTAGCCGGAGTGGAGGTAGTGGTGAGGGTGGTCTGCACAGGGGTTCCGCTGATGGTCTCGGTGGTGACGACGGTCTTAACAACAGGGGTAGCGGTGGTCTGGGCCGTGGTCTCGGCAGTGGTCGTAGAGCTGTCTTTGCTGTTGCTGTTGCTATTGTTATTGTTGTTGTTATTGTTGTTCGACGAGGTAGTAGTGGCGGCCGCAGCATTAGTGGTTTGAGCTGCGGTCGTATCTGCTGCTTTGGTTGTCTTGGCTGCTGGTTCCGTGGTACTTGTGGTCTCTGAGGTTGACGTAGTCGTCGGCTCAGTCTGACTGGTGGTGGAACTGGTGGTCTCTTTGGTGGATGAAGTCGACTCGGTTGAGGAGGTCGACTCGGACGTTGTGGTAGGAGCAACCTCTGCGGTAGTAGCAGCCGCAGCAGAGGTGACAGCGTTCCCTACACCCGTGACCGCGGCGCTCTGGCCAGCGACGACGGCCACGAGGGAGAGGGAGTAAAGGAGGAACGAAAGACGAGCGGCTCGCATGATGAAAGCGGTTGGTTGGGAGTATTAAATCGGAAGTCAAGTATTTCTCAAAGGCTTCCAGCGCCAAACGGACGGAGGTTGTGCGAGATGACTGTCAGACGAGAGGTAGATGGGTATATTGAGGAGGTCAGATTTCCAACGCGACAAAAGCCCAGATGGGAGTAAGCGATCGTATCTGTAGTCGGGGAGAGTGTGTGGAGGATAAAGACACCGATGAGATAGGTGTCTAAATGAAAATGGAGGGGTTAACGAGAGACTGCAGACGTAGAGAACACCCGAAGGGCACACACACGATACAATATGGGGTGGGTAAGAGAAAGAGCGTAAGGAGGTGCGGGATGGAGATTATTGAAAAAGGACTCAGGACTGGAGAGGGCGGGAGAAAAGGGAAGGGAAAGGTCAGTGAGTGGCAGTGGGGGGACGGGAAGGAAAGGATTGGACTGATCCGCTCTCTCCCTCTCTCGAGGTCTTTCTCTCGCTCACTCAGTAATCAGTCAGTCAGTCACTCACTCACTCACTCACTCACTCACTCACTCACTCACTTCACTGCACTTCAATCCTTTGCACAACCGGCCGGCCGCTGAAAGTCACCGGGGCCAGGCAATACAAAATCACCAATTGTAAACACGCGCCCAGCCGTGGGCGCGCTCTAGTGTTGGCGCTAATGAGGCCCACTGACCAGTCAGCGGGAGCAATATGAGACAGATTGACCAGGGGGTTCACTGTATTTTGGAACATTTCGAACATTTTGTGCATTGTTAGCCCATTGTGAGCATTTTCAGGCGCCTGACTACGGGGCAGTGTCTTTGTTTGGGGCTTCGGAGGGGAGGTTGGGTCGGCAATCCCACTTTTGATTCGTGGTCTTTCCACCGGCACACCCGAACCTCCTTCATGAATGGGTCTCAACTCATACCCTAAGGCCGTTAGGATTATTATCGGTCTCCATATCCCGTACTACGAGTGTCTTGTGAACATAGAGTCAAGTAAGTAGACCACTAATTATGACTACTTAGGCTAGCACACTGCTTTTCTCACCCTTCCCTTTGCTCACTCTCCCCCTCTTCACTAGCCCAATTGATAGTGTGGGAGATCTTTATCCGATCTCTAACAAATTAATGAAGATTCCGCGACTATGGTTCGGTGATACTATTTTAAGGTCTGAACCGTGGATTTGACGTACCAACAATGACAGTACCACAGAACCTCACTCAGGTTCATCTTCAGTTCCTTTCTTACAGACCTAAGTAAGACGCAACATCCCAAACAATGCCATCAACCAACCCAGGTTTCTCTCCCTAGCACTTCATATGTCGTCTGGGAGTCCCGCGTTCCTCCGCGTCGTGGGCAGTGGAGTAATTACTCAGTCAGTCCACATCATCCATCAGACCCTGGGGGATAGTGCCAAAAGGTACTGCAGGAAAAGGAATTTCTGATTGGCACCCGGTCTCGTGCCTGAGAGAAAATTTCGATTTAGCCCCATCGACATATGCCGGTGCAGCCGACGGTGCTCCATAATCAGACTCTGTCTTTTCTTTCTGATTTTTTCCCTTTTTCTTGGGGAGTGGGAAGATCGCCTTAACCGCCCAACATAGTTTAGCGTGGCGAGACAGAGAGAACTACAGGGGCAAGCCATCCCTTCTTGACCTACGGATATGTGTACTTGGGTCACCAGGCGATGCTGGAGCATGCCCTACGGCGGTGTTATGCCGTTATCCGGAGTAATTGGGATTGCATACATACTATTGACTTGAGCTTTGTGCATCTCGAACGAGTCCATTAGTCGTCTCTACTTGTTCTGCGCCATCAATGTGTCTGGCCAGTCTGCCACGGACAATCAAATGGTCTGGACAATGTCGAAATGGCAAGCTTGCGTGTCGCACACATTCGGGGCATGATCGGATGAGAAAGCTTGGTCTTATCAGATCTCGTTGACACCTGAGTCCTCAAACACACAATTCACAGCTCCCCTCCGCCGCTCTGATCCGTGATGTAAGGATGTCTCAGATGTAGACATGCGATACCCAGAGTGATATCATCCTAAGGATACCCATTAGCGTTGATTGTATCAGGCTGCTCAAACCCTGCAAGACCGTGCAGCGACAGCAGCAGAGTCGACTGCCAAGCTACTTGCATCAGCAATCCAACCATCATGCAAATTATCTCGCCTTTCAATATGTCGGATGTAATCTGTATGAGAGCAACATGCTCGAATTGTTGAAAACCGTCCAAGCCTTGTTATCATCATGCAGATATCCTCGCCTCAATCCTCAAGCAACCGCATGCTCCAGTTGACCTTCCCTTGCTACTATTTACTCATGTATGTATGTAGTATCCGACATTATGCCTCTCAAGCCGCATTGCCTCAATCCCGGATATCCCGACAAGCTACGAAACACGAGATACAGTATGCACAGATGCACAGTACCAGAGCCTATGTTCCCGGCTGAGAATCACTCGATCCCCATCACAAGCCACTTGAATTCAGCCACTACCTGCAGAGACGGACTGAGTACGATCAATCGGACAGATCACACTGTGCGATAAACAAGCCACCGCCAGGGTGCCTTCCAGACAGTAGCAGGACAGGATAGTCTGACAAACCACCTGATCCAACCCTCGTAAACACTCATCGCCCAAAGCTTAAGCGCAAAACCGATAGTTTACTAGCAGCCACCCGAGCGTTGCCACGAGGGTGGAAGGCAGTTGCCACGAAAGCGCAGCCACTCTCTGCTACTCTGCCACAGCGTCACTCCCCATCAATATTGACTCACCGAATGTTCGTTGTCCGATGCTCACAATGATGACAATACCTGACCCGTCTAATCTACCCTTAGCATAATAAGCACATGGACTTTTCTTTTGCTACGAGTGATTAGCGGCCACACCTGCGATTTAGGCTCGTAGACGTTCCCAAACTAAACTAATTTACGGGAAACGCAGTCGCACTCTGTATCTGTCTCAAACCCGTAAGTAATTCTGAAAATGGAAATCAATCACACCCTGCTGAGTTGGCCAACACACCAGGAGCAAAAGTAAGCAGAGGAAGGGCAGGGGGGGGGGGCGAGGGAAACCAGCTGGAAAAGGCCCAGCCCAGAACCCCCCTCGAGACCCTGCATGACACCTGTTAGCGGTAAGTTGTGACCACGGACGGAGAGGCGACTGCTTCCGATTATTCAACCCAACTAAACAAACACACTCAAACAAAACATGGGACCACTTTCCAGTCCAATAATGCGTACTCCATTAACTCATGAGACTTTTATCATCATCCAAACTATCTTTAACATGAGCTCTTCCATGATCAATTGGAAGGTGACTTTTCCGGTATTCAGGATGTGACTTCCTCGTTTCCACAACATTCCGCGTCTCCTTCCCCCCCCAATGCCTTTCCGGCTGATCGGCAGTGGGTGACGGACGGGTTCTAGACTCCCTGTTGCACTTTTCACTGCCAGATTCCCCTCACCCCACTTCGGTAGGTGGTCGTCATCCAACGTGACTGGGCTCTTGAGGGGGATTTACTCTATTGAGTACTGTACAGTCTGTACTGTATCTTCATGCAGGGGTCTGGATCTGGAACCCCGAAGGGATGGGTGGGTGAGTGGGTGGGTGGGTGACGACTACGTGGAGCGGATGGAGCTTGGGGTGCGCGGGTTTACACATATCTACCGGAGCGCGTGTGGGTTCGGCCTACGCGTGCGTGTGTATTTGGTTTGTATGTTGTGTGTGCGTGTGTGTTTTGTGTGCGGTGTGTTTACGCTGATGTTCTTCTTGGAGACAAATCGGTCGAATGCCCGTCTGATTTGTGTGCATTGATTGTACTGTACCCGGCAGTCGGGTGGAGCAGTGAGGAAGGTTGAATGCTTTGGTGGGGAGGGCACCTCTGACAAATCCGCCTAGATTGGTGGCTGATTCCATCCTGAGTCGTGGATGAGACTTCTAGGGTTTTGTGCTGGCCCTTGTGCGGTTTGCCCTGTGTTGCCTCGTGCATCTAGCGACTTTGCAGGTCTTGCTCGCACAGGCGGGCGTGCTGGGCTGCGACATGGGCAAGGCTGGATGTCTGCGAGGCGGGGAGCATATAGTTGGACGCGTGAGGTCGTCCTGGGTGACATATCTCTTCGGTCAATGAGTTTCTGAGATTGAATTGCTGGTGCGAAGACATGAGTCTCGGTGGTTCCTATCGCTTACAGTTGTGAGATGTTTACTCTCAATTACAGATTTGAGCTGAATGGACGAGGCAGGCCGGCACCAAGCAAGAAACCGCAGAACAACTTATAAAGCATAAACAGTCTGAATTGATGGGTATCATAGGGTTATATATTGGTTAACAAAGGCCTCCGCAGTTTCCGCAGTGTATTTCCAGATTGCTGATCAGTACTTCTCCGTGGGTTTTCCTTTGAATTGATTCTGGCACTCCTCCTTGAAGTATGCCCAGAACTTTCTCAGGGTCGAATCTAAGAAGGTATCTGTTAGGACCACCAAGCCCCACTCGATGTGTTTCCAGAGTATACACAGATGGCAGCCACATCATCTCTGTGTGTGTGGTTTGGCATACCAGGGTTTGAGAGACGGCCGGAGCCGCTAATCCGGGGCGTCTCTGGCGGAGGCACGCCGTGTTTCACACGTTCAACTTGTTCATGGACCTTCCCAACGACGCGGTGAAACGTCCGGCTGGAGAGCAGCTTTTTGTCATAAGGGGCGGACTTTTGGTCAGTCTTTTAAGGTTTCGCAGTGAACGGCCATCGTTGACAAACCTGACGAACGAGCAGCGTCTAATAGAGAGAGGGAAAAGTGCATTAGCATTAGGCTGCTGTGCGATGAAGGAATGAGAGAGAGGGGAATCCATTATGCCCAAAGACACACCTCCAACGCTTGGAGCCCAAGCATCCGGAAGACCATCCTGCCGTGATGACTCCGGGAATTCAGTCGACCGTCTATCGTCTACCGGTGAAAAACCAATAGCAGCACTGTCGATGACAGTGTAGTCAGTGGTTGCATAAACAGGTGGCGGTTAGTTATGGCTACGGAGATGGGAACACACTTGTGGTGCAGTGCTGAGAGAGGGAGCGGAGATTAGAGCGAGTCCGAGATGAGAGATTACCTAAGGGTGCCACCAGAGTCCGACTTGGTGCTTGACTTGACAGGGCCAATGACAGCCACAGCCGAGACTGAGCAAGCAAACAGCAGCCCGGGACCAATCAGAAACTAAAAAGTCTCCGGCGCGGGATGAGAACCTTTACAAGAATGCATCTCCGATCGTGAATGGAGATTGTCACAGATGAATTACATACTAGATGAATTATTGACTCCCTCATCAAGGTACGGTGTGTACTGATGAAGGGAAATCTTGAATTGCCTGTCGGAGCTGATCTCCTGATTACATCACCGTTGTTCTTGTCCCGAGGCCAACCAGGCAATTCAAGGTCCCTTGGAATACCTTATGCATGCCCATCTCCGGATTGCCAGGACCAGCTATGAATCCCATTGTAATGATTAGTTCAATACCGTTAGTTTTATACCAGATCGATCCTGCCGCGGTCACTGGAAAAATTCTCTCGTCTGTGTTGATGTTGGTTTTGAGATTCAAGGACATCTTGACGAGCTATACTTCCTCTTCGCATTCTTGCTCTGTTTTGACTCGCTCTGTTTCTCTCTTTTCTCCCGACTAAAAGTCATCGGACCCGGTGGCCACGTCCTCTGGCAGTGCGGGGAGTCCAGCTTCGAAATAGCGCCGCGAGGGGAATCTCCGTGAGGGCAAGGGAAGGAGAGAGAGAGAGAGAGAGAGAGAGAGAGAGAGAAAAAAATTACTCCTCTGGCCTTGGCCCAAGTTCAAGCATTCTCCCCCTTTCTCATTGTGATGTGGTGTGGCATTTTTATCATCGTCAAGGAAATAAATATAGCAGAAGAATTTCACCAGCCACGATCTTTGCCACCTGAATTGAACTCATAATCTCAATCAACCCCTCCGAGACCCCTCAGGGCTACCTGCCCTTACCGAGATTTTTTGTCCAACTACCTACCGGTACATACATACATACATACATACATACATACACACGTTCAGACCTACTTAACAGACTGTTGGCTCAGCTGCGGTAACGCCAATCTGACTTGGTTGAAAACGAAAACGATTAGTCCGTCGGACGAGTCAGCCTGGCTAACGTTACGATTCGTGCGCGCCTTGTCCCCGTGAGATCGAGAAATCTGGCCAAGCACATTGCCGTGTCGAGGGGCAGCTTCCACAGCTGTCCCGATCTGTCAACGCTTCAGATATCCCCCTCATCATCCCTGCTGCTGCCACACCACGACGCCGCCGCCGCCGCCCCCAACGACTACGAGGCCTCTGTCAACCCTACCACCACCACCGCCCCAACTTCCCGTTCTCCTTCTCCCCATAGTACTGCCAGTCTTCGCAACGGTCCTCGTACACTTGCAGCCACCAGAAAGCGGGTCTCCAAAAAGGCGCGCGGCGTCCTGGGTAAGGTTCGGGCCTTCCAGAGGATCGCTGCGGCCAAGATGGCGCATCCCTCCATCAAAATCGACACGAGCGTCCAGTCTATCAAGCGCGCTCTCCCCGAGGATACTGAGGCAGGTTTGGAAATTGCATACGGCTCCGATGACGCTCCAGCGTTGGACGCTGGCGATCATGATTCCGTGCCGCCGTTCCTTTGTCAGTCGGTCCTAGGTTCGTTTGCGCCCGCTTTCTCTACCCCTCCCCCCCATGCGCTTGCTGCTTGCTGTCTTCACGCTCCATCCAAAGCGCTGGTTCTTCGACTAATACTTTCCTTGCTGATATCACAGAAATTCATCACAAATTCGAAGAACTTGAATGGATGCAACGGACGCGGCTTCTGGAGGGCACGCAGGCCAACGACCCCTCACACCGATGGGCGCTAGAGGCAGATCCGGAAGTTCGAGCAAGGAACCGATATATGAACGTCCAGGCATGGGCCAACTCCCGCATTCACTTGCGCGTCCCAGAAGGTGAATGCGACTTCATCAACGCGTCGCCGATCGTTCTTCAGGATTCAGTGTCGCAGCAGGCGAGGAGGTATATTGCGACCCAGGTAAGCGGGGGCCATACGCACAGGACACTTCAGCGTGCTCTACTAATCGGTTATGGACAAAAAGGGCCCGAAGCTTGGCCATGTCGCCCATTTTTGGCAGATGGTGTTCCATGAGAGCAAGGACGTCGGAGTAGTCGTCATGCTCACGCAGACCTTCGAGTCCGGGCGCGAGAAGTGCTCGCAGTATTTCCCTCTCAACAGTGAAAGCCCTTCCATGCCTCTGCGGCAAGTCGAGTCCGACCAGTACGCAAGCGACGACGATCACAGCAGCGGCGAACTTTTGGGGGAAGTCACACTTTTGGAGACCTCGTGGGATCCCGCGTCGCGGTCTGAAATTCGAAAGCTTCAGCTCACCTTCGGCGGCGAGTCCAAGACCGTGTGGCACTTCTTATTCGCTGGCTGGGCCGATTACTCCAAACCCGAGGGCGAAGATCGGGATGCGCTGTTGCAGCTGATCAAGCTGTCCGACTCGAAGAGCGCGCTGGACAATCCACGCATCGTGCACTGCAGCGCCGGCGTAGGTCGCACCGGCACCTTCATCGCGCTCGACCACCTGCTGCAGGAGCTCGAATCGGGCCAGCTGCTGGAGGCCGTGGACCCGGAGATCGACCCCGTCTTCGAGACGGTCAACCAGATGCGCGAGCAGCGAATGATGATGGTCTACAATGAGATGCAGCTGCAGTTTATATACGAGGTCCTGCGCGAGCAGACCGATCTAAAATTGGGCAAGGCTCCCGGGCGCAAGTCGGACGAGCGGTCCACCAAGATGGCCAAGTTGTCCAACGAGGCCAACCACCTCGCCAACTACCACGTTTCCTCCAAACCGGAGTTGGAGCCGTCAACACCGACGCGTAGCTGGTCGGGGACACCGGAGGTGTCTGATAATGAATGAGCGGCCCCTGGCGCGAGATTCCCAGCCACTATAATCTTCACCTATAATTTTCTCCAGTACATATTTTTATTCTACTCTAATCGCTATATTTACTTGCTCACTCTGTGCATCCCGAGGCTTGCTGCAGTTGTGTTCGTCTCTACCTTCTGTTCCATATGTATAGTCACGATGAATAGCTTATGAATTGTCCATTGGCATCCTCTTTTATACTCCTTATCTCTCTATGTTCTTGTTTAATGTGCTGTCTAGTCCATGTCGCCTTTCATGTCCGGGCTTGGAGATCTTATATCAACGGCTGTGCGACTTCGAAGTATCCACGAGGATGTTCTTTTCCCTTTCCCTTATTTTTTCTTACATACCCATTAGAACTGTCTAACCTTATTCCAATCTGCCTCCTATGCTTCCCTGCCAGATAGATCTACTCACCTACTTCCATGATACTTCATCCAATTCACGATACTCATAGCATGGCTCAAGACCCGCCCCCTATAGTACTGGCTGTAGAGGCCAGGCTCTACATCTTGCCCAGGCTGGCTTTGCAGTACTGGCTGTAGAGGCCCGACTCTATATCTTTTCTAGGCTAGCTTTGCAGTAAGCCCCCCCCCCCATAAGAAACACAAAGCTTAAACCAGGTTCCCCACCCACATGCACAATCCAGACAAGAGAACCAAGCCCTAGAAAGAAGAGGGGGTAGGTAGTGGGTAGTGTAGGGTGCGATGAAAGTGCTTCAGATGAACCACAATCCACATGCATACAATTTCCATCAAGCAGGTGCTGTTTTCTCTTGCCCTTGAAGATGCAACCCCCGCCTCCGCGCTCCGAGGCGCTCTCCCCGGGCCTTCCTACCTCCCTTCCTCTCTGGTACTTCGCGCACGAAAGCACACTCCGATCCGTAACAGATCACTGCGTACAATACATATTTACAACAAGAATTCACGGGCGAAGGCAAACGCACTGCTAAGCAGGCGGGAAGCAAAGATCAAACAAGCTCAATGGATGGTCATGATGTGTTCTGTGGCATGATCGTTCATGGTCATGGTCATGGTCATGGTCATGTTCATATTTATATTCATGAGAAGGAGAGGGAAATGGGGGTGATGACTATGTATGTATATGACAGATATAGGGTACGGATATGGCCATTGCAGTGTGACGGTGGGACTGGGGAGGGTTTGGAGGGATGATTTTGCGTAGTAGCTGGATAGGATAGATTTGATGGGGTTGAGGGGGTGTGATCGTTACGCATGTCGTTCTGATGAGGGCGAGTGGTCTGTCTACCTTGCGAGGTTTCCAGTTGCAAGACCTACCGGCACGAGTGGTGGATTCGGGACGGAGGGACGAGTGGGGGACGAGTGAGGGAGAGGGCAGAAAACTTTAGATGGGGAAACAAACCGATCGATTGATTGAGGAAGTTGATGAAAGGGAGAACAGATATCACACAATTAGATGATCAATCAGTTTCAGTCAACCCAACCCAACCAACCAACCCATGCCAATCACCCGATTAATGGAAAAGGAAATCGATCAATCGCTCCGTTTCTTCCCATCCCCCGCCTCCGCGACGGTCCCGCCCAGCTCGTCCGGCCCATCCTCCGTATCCCAATTGTCCACGGCGTTCTCGTCCCAGTTGTCCACCTCCTGCTCCAGGTTCAGCACGCCGGTCTCCTGCGGGCCGAGGCCGTCGTGGTCATCCTGGTGGTGGCCCCCGGTCAGACCCAGCTCGACGTCGTCGTCGTCGTCGGCGCCGTCGCCGCCGCCCAGGCTGCCGAAGCGGGCCTTGCGGCGCCGGTCTAGCATGCGGCGGTGATACCAGCTGCACAGGCCGACGGCGCCCAGGCTGCCGACGATGTTGGCGAGGAGGTCGAAGGGGTCGAAGGTGCGGCCGTTGGGGAGCAGGCCCTGGACGATCTCGGAGCCGATGCCCAGGACGAGCGTGCACACGACCAGGGTCAGGTGCAGGGTGCGGCGGCGCGAGGTGTCCGGGATCCAGTAGAAGACGAGCGAGAGGAGGAAGAAGGTCACGACGTGCAGGAGTTTGTCATTGGGTTGCAGTTGGGACGGTATGTTGGACGAGTCGCTGTGGGGGAGGAGGCCGATGTAGGCGGCGAGGATGAGGAGGAAGACGAAGGCGCCTGTTTCGTGGTAAATTGGGTTAGCATGGTTGAGATAATTGCATGGAGCGGAGTGACTAGGAAGATCTTGAAGTCTCGACTATCTCCGGATCACTTTGTGGGTGGTGGTTCGAGATAGCTTGGGAAATTCAACGGTGTGTTTGCCCGGATCGGATGTGGGAGAGAGAGAGCAATCGATAAGAAGATTGAATGGGGAAGGGAGCAAATACTCACCCGCAAAAGGATAGCGGATTCGCATGATGAGAAGACGTTGGAAGGTAGAGGAACAAGCAATAATGGTGGACAGCGACCCAGAGCTGGCTGGGAGGAAGCACAGAGGTTGACGAAGTGGTGGTGGTGGTGATTGATAGATAACTTGAAGTTCGCTAACTGCCGAACTGGTGATGCAGTTCCGGGAACGTCATGTGCTCCAGCTTGCTTGCCTGCTTGCCATACAGTCTCCGTATTCGGTGACCATACAGTATGGTAAGATCAGGCCGTCAGGCATCCAATCCCGTTGCTTTCTGGCAGTCGCTGTTACTGCTGTTACTGCGGAACACTTCTGTTCTGTTAGTTACTTCCACATCCATCCTCAATTAATTGCTTGCTTGCTTGATTGCTTCAACACTTCTTCCCCCTCAACCCCAATAGCATCACAGACAATCAATGAGACAGAACACACACTTATACATCTCCCATAGCTGTTAAAATTCTCTCTTTGTGTTTTGATTCATTGACTTGTCTACTGTATCCTTATCCTTATCCCTCCCTCCCTCCCTCCCGTGAACAGCTTAGTATCAGAACTGCGCGGTTGGTCTAAACCTGCGGCGGCCGCCGTTCCGCCTTTCACGGCTGCTGGAACCTCACCTCATCCCGTTCGCGCAGAGAACCTCGTAACTGTACGGCAGGCGCCCTTTGCTTTCTTCCATCAAATTTTGCGGCCCTGCCATCACTTTTGGCTCTTGTTTTATCGTCCTTCGCTTCTTCGCGCTCGTTCCTAAATCTCTATGTCGTTTTCCGCCGGTCTCCCCCCCCCGTTCTTCCCTCTCCGGACTTGATATTCCCCCCAGCCGTGGAGAAACGAGCAGCAGCCCCCTCCCTCGCCCGCGCCCCCAGAATCGGGGTTTTGGAGCGAGCATGTCGCTCGGCCACCACCACGCCTGGCTACCCCCGGGCCATCTGCGCCCTCCCGACGACCTTCATGATGCGCGGTCGGCCAATGGCTATTCTAGATCTTTTTCCGGGGCTCGCACCCCCCAGTTGCGCGCTTCGGCCGATGCCGACGGCCTGCACGCGGGAACTTTGATATCCGATGCTGATCTGGCACCCGACGATGACCCACGTATCGCCATGTTCCGGGACTTGTACAAGCGCAGCGAGGCGCAAATCAACGATCTCTTCGCCAACCAGAAATCCGCCGAGGAGGCCGCCCGCAGCGCGGTCGCCGATGCGGAGGAGACCCAGACTAAGAGCCAGCGCGCCGACGAGTCAGCTCCGCCTCCCGCACCCGCCAAGAAACCCGCGAGGAAACTCGACGATGACGACTACGACGACTACGACGACGACGATGATGACGATGATGAGGCTCCGTCCCCTCCCAAGCCCAAGTCCCTCGGCACATCTCACGACCCGAGCGGTCTCCCGTCGCCCAGTCGGCCCTCCAGTGGCTCCGTGTCGGTCGTCATCGAAGCGCGAAAGGAAACTAAGAAAGAAACCCTGGAGGATATCCGCAAAAAGCTAGAACAAGATAAGAAGGCTACCGAGGAGGCCGCCAAACGGAGCTTCCATACCCTCTTTTATACCCTAGAAAATGATAGAGATGCCATGCTGGACCAGCAGCGACTGGAAGAGTCGGAACGCCAAGTCGAGGCGGAGATGTCGGGCCAGGCCAATGCAGGCAACAACCCCAATCCCAACTCCAATGGGTACGGCTCGCTGAGTAGCGCCAACCTGGGCGCCTCAAGCCTGACCCTCAAGAACTTGATCGCGCGCATTGACATGAAGCGCACCATGGTGCAAGCTTCGGATGCAGAGCTGCGCAGCCTGATGAGCGAAGTTCGGAAGAACCGAAGCAAGTGGGCCAGTGAGGACAAGATCGGTCAAGAGGAGCTCTATGAGGCCGCCGAGAAGGTCCTCAGTGAACTCAAGGCCATGACAGAACACTCGACGGCGTTTCTGACCCGTGTCAACAAGCGCGATGCGCCTGACTACTACACGAGTAAGAACCCTCTGCTGTCTTGCGAACGGATCGCCGCTCTTCAATATGCTAACCCCTATTGCAGTTATCAAGCACCCCATGGACCTTGGCACGATGACTAAGAAGCTCAAAGCTCTGCAGTATAAGTCGAAGCAGGAATTCGTTGACGATATCAACCTAATATGGTCCAATTGTTTCAAGTACAACACTAACCCCGAGCACTTCTTGCGTAAACATGCATTGTATATGAAGAAAGAAACTGAGAAGCTCGTTCCCCTCATCCCGGAGATTGTCATTAGAGATCGGGCCGAGGTGGAAGCAGAAGAGCGGAGGCTCCAGCTCGCCGAGATGGATGGCGCAGACGAGAGCGACGATGAGCCCATCATGTCGTCCCGAGGAAGGAAAGCGCCGGGCAAGTCATCGAAGAAGGGAGCTGCTCCTGTGCGGAATACCCCCAGCGGATCGGAACCTCCTGCGGGTCAAGCCTCTCAACCCCCCGCGCCTGTACGGTCGGATTCAGACACCGCGATGGAAGGCACCCAGAACGGCTTTCCCACGCCGCCTCCCGGGGGAACGCAAACCCCATCGGATCCTGCTGGTGTTGGCGCCGGTGTTCAAGGAAGCCAGGGTGATGCCATGGAGATTGATGGGTTAATACCTTCGAACAACAATATCCTGACCGCCTTACCGGCGTCTGGCGTGGAGTCGGAGGACCCCGAGTATAAAGTCTGGAAACAGGTCACGAAAAAGGATCGTGCTGTCATTGCCGCGGAGCGACATCGCCTGTTCAAGGGCGATAAACTCAACTCTGAGGAGCCCGCCTTGCTTAGGACTAAGGCTGGTATGAGACGGTGGCTGAGAAACCAGATGCAGATTAATGCCGAGGGCGACAAAGCCCGCGAGTCTACCGCGCAGGGTATGGACCCTGGTGCAGCGGGTGAGACCCTAGCCGAAGGAATCGAGGTGGACGAGGATCGAGTGATTCCTGATTATTACGACGTAATGTCGGGCGTCCCTGACCTGCCTCCATATTTGTCTTGGAAGGAAGACTCCGATGGCAACATTGTGGATGCCTCTGAAGAATTCTTGCGCGTGCTGCCGTCAGGGTCTTTTACTCAACCGGACAGCAAGCTTTCCCGCAAGATGGATGCGAACATGCGTCAAATGCAGGAGACCCGGAAGGTGTGCTCGAAGATCGGCATTGTTAAGCAGATGCAGCTGCAATCTCAGGTGAGTAACCCTTAAAGACTTTACCAAGATCACGGGTCCTGATGCGCAGCAGATGTACCAAAACCAATTCCAGAAATATCAGCCTGAACCGTTTGTTGAACACGATGTTCCCGCGCATGTGATGAACGACGGGGGCCCGGTCATTTCTCCGTGGGTTTGCAAAGCAGCCCTGCAGCGCTCAGTAGCGAAGATATTCTATCACACCGGTTTCGAAGAGTATCAGCCGTCAGCTCTAGACGCTGTCACCGACATCGCCTCGGATTTTTTCCAGAAGATTGGAGAGACTTTGAAGTCATACATGGAAACACCGAAGCTTCCTGCGACTGAAACTCCAGAACCGAACACAGCGCCGCAATGGAAACGAGCGTATACGGAACCGGAAATGGTCCTCCATACGCTCTCATCTGTCGGTGTCGATGTGGAAAGCCTTGAGTCATACATCAAGGACGACGTCGAACGTCTCGGCACTAAGCTTTCAACAGCCCATGATCGTCTTCGGTCATTGCTATCCGAGCTTCTGCGACCTGCCCTTGCGGATGGCGGCGAAGATGGCTCCAGTGCCTTTCAAGACGGAAGCGAGCAGTTCATTGGCGGTGACTTCGCCGAAGATATCGATGAAGACTTCTTCGGATTCAAGGAGTTGGGGCTGGACAGAGAGTTTGGGCTGGCTAC